GAATTGAAATAAAATGTTAATCCTCCTGATACTGGTGCTTCTAGTCTTAAAAGCAGTCCAGGGAAGCGAACGAAGCCGCTCTTTTCTCGGCGACGTTTTTCCGCATTTTCATGCCAGCGGAGAAGACCAGAAAAAAGTGCCATTTTGACCGTTAATAAACTGCCCAAGGTAGAAAAACAGTAAGTAAGCAGACTCCCCAGATCTTCTACTAGTAACGCATATTACACCCGCGGACGTTACACAGCGAAATGGTACGCGCTCACTGCGCGACCATCGAAGTGGTCACACTCCTTCCCAAGTGTCGTGTTTTGGTGCGACAAGCCCAGAGGCACGTCTGCCGATGAAGTTGGTTTCTTCAAGTCATCATGTCGTTTGTTTTTGCCTAAGTACTACAAGAACAGTAGTAAAAGATATCCTCGATTGTACAAGAATGCAACCTAGAATTGCTAAAGTATTTCATAGGGGTGGCTTGCGAAAGTTGGATAATCTTTTTCTTGAACATTCACATCTGACAGATTTCGTCTTTGGCTCTTTTGCGTCAAGTTGTTTTCAATTTCGACATTTCCACACTCACACGCTACCTCAGTCACTCGTGCTCGTCGTGAACTCTACATCAGATATCACACCCCTCTTCACTCTCATCACTTTGCCTGTTTCTCCTTTGTAACGACACGACTTGAACGAAGGAGCTGGAACAGCAGTAGTTTTATTTCCAAATCACTTCAACCTTCACAAGCATGCTTTGTGTTTGTCAATCGACATGAAGAACGATGCGTCCTCCGCACTATAGGTAGAAAAGAGCTTCATAAACCGGAAAAGAGTCACGACATTGATGATCCGCTGACCAACTTGTGCATAAATGGATTCTAACACTGATCGAGGTCGTGGGCATCTGCGTGGTAGTTCTTGTATATTCTACGCCAATAACGTTAAGAGGGTTGCTCTCGCGAGAATCGGATTTGAATGGAAAAAAAATTCCGAAAAACGAGAGTTCTGTGTTCAAGTGAAATCTATTCTCTTGTTCAATTTCTATGCAGACCTAACCCAATTTCGAACGAAGGCGTTGTACGAACGACACAGGACGAAGTTATCGCACTACCTGATAGACTCAACTTCTAGTACTTTATCGATTGAGAACATCTTCATCCGTCGATTCTTCTACGCTTGGCTTCAGGCTGTGGTGGGAGCTGATCCGCGCCCTCCGTCAAATCATTATCTCTATCCGTATACGCACTTTGCTGTTGCGCAGCCTCATCTCTGATGGCTCCGAAGAGTGCCTCCTTCATGTAAGCAAGCGGGTGAGCTTTCTCCGGGTGTTCAGATTTGACATATCTGAACCCCTTTGCTCCTCGCAGAGATCGTCCATCTACAAAGGAGTAAAATGGTCCTTGCTCCTCATGATCTGTGCTTTCTAGTGGTTGTAGTTGTTTGTCTTCGTGCTTTACACATACACTCTCTCCTTCGACTGCAGTAGTTTTGTGCTGGTTTTCCGGGGCTAAAAGTGCCTCGAACTCGGCTTCCACCGAAGCTAAATCATCCGGATACGAACGACGAGTCACGGCTTGCTGCTCGACCACTTTGGTTGAAGTTGTACTTCGTAGTTCTGCCGACTTGGAAGTCCTCAAAACAGTGAGCAGATCAGAAAGGTTTTTTGTGGAACTAACCTTTTGGGCCAGAGTCTTGATCCTGAAGCCAAAAAGCTTCTCCGTGTCTTTCAGAATCATCTCCTGTACGTTCCATTTGATCTCTGGGAAAATATTAGAACTATTTAAGGGAAATCCATCTTTGGTGGATTCATCTTGGTTATCAAGAATGTGTCATGATGTTCAATAGTACTACAATTGAATCTTTTATAATCATTCGTGCCCTATTTCATACTAGCCACAACATTGCTGGATCGTCATGATCAATTATACCCTTCTCTTGGAATTTCTTTACACTGTAATCAATGCATCTTTTCTTCAGGTCAACGTCAAAGTATATCTGCTAAATTCGCAACAGCTCCCAGCTGTGAAGTGCCAGACGCCACGTGCCTAGTCGTTGATGTGGTAGTGGTCCCTGATTGTGAACGAAATAGCTGGCACACAACCACAAAACGAATCCGCGATGAAGTTCCGTCTCACGTGAAAATTATGAGGCCGCTCAAAGTTGTTAAAAGTATTTTTTTCTGTATCCTGCCACTGCTAGAAGAGATGCCACCTCAGCTTTATTCAGTTCGCAAACCAACCGCGCTGTCTGGGGCGTCAAAGATGAGAAATAGAGTCAGCATGAGCTGGATAACCAGTGACGCCAAGAATGAGAACCACATTAGCGATGTCGCCCCTGCGCACCGGCTGATGCTGAACCGCAACTATTCGATACACGTAAAGGCAACTATCCCATCCACCTGCTCGGGTTTCATGAGCTTGGCTCAGAAGAAGATCATGCAACAATCAGCATCTGCAGGGAAAGCATTCCCGACGAGGAAAACGAGGGCGACATGGTATTCGTGCTTGGTAGTTGATACACTTACTCAACCACTCTAAAAAAGTTGATTCCATCGTAACAGTTCTTCTTCATATTGTGGATCGTGATATGAAATTGACTTAATTATATTCAAGGCACTCTTGTTTCATTACATCAACATAGGTAGCAAAAATATCAAATGATGATGTTAGTCGATTCGGACTGGAACTGGTATCAAAAATATCAAATATTCACAAGTATCCACCGCGTTTGTTGTCGGAGAATGATGATGATCCCACTTGATCGAATTGAAGAAAAACTAGTTCTGATAGTGATTGTGATCATGACCTTCGTTCATTACGACTACACTTTTACACGAACACCGAGACTGTTTCTGATAGTGATTGTGATCATGACCTTCGTTCACTACAACTACTTACACTTTTACACTACACACACTTTTACACGAACGCCGAGACTGTTTCGACAGACATCGCATTTTGCAGATCAGCTACCGCCGAGGCCTAGATTAATGGTACAAAGCACACAAATCTTCAGGTTTGTTGGTGCTGTAGTCCTCAGAATCCGTAGTGTCAACAATTCATCCTCCACGCCTACGCATCGCAATAAAATTGTAGGCGTGTACAAGGTCGACCGTATTGGTCATCATCTAGATGACTGAGTAGAGTCCTTCAAGAAAAATCGGTCTGGTTACCCATGGCATGCGTGCCTTCATGCCAATTTCCTCGACCAGAACTCAACGAAAACATTGCGAAACACCTCCATGTGCCCATTAATGCGCTCTGCGGCACATTCCACTTTGTAGACAAGGGGTGTCGTTTTTTGTTGAGTATGAGTTCCTTCTTTGTTGATCCTATTGTCATTCAGATGCTTGCGCAACGTTGCTTCAATCGTTTCCCCGTAAGTTCCGCGAAGGCGGGTTGTACACGGATCCACACTCGGCAGCTCGTAGTCTCCTTCGCACGCTGTGATCGATTTAATGCTGATTTTCTTGCGTCCATCGTGAATCTGCGTTCGAAAATTTTCGGCCCCGCCGAATAGCTTTTCGTGCTTCTCTGCGTTTTCGATGTTTTCGACCTCATTCCACCAGTACCGCGGCATATTGAGAGCGAGACTACAGGCGTTGAAACCGAGGCGAGAACTATGTCGCTAGTAGGTCAGCCATCCAGACTAGCCTACTAGCGGCATCAGATCGCGCGAAGATGAAGGATACCGAAGTCTGAGTGTGACGCATGAATCTGAGCGCGAAGCAAAGAAAAATGATGCCGCCTGGAGGCGAGTGTGGAGAGCTCCCGAATCAATAGAAGAGAAAGAGGAGGGAAGGGAAGGAGAAAAAGAAAAGACTCGAAACGAAGTGAATTCTGAAACGTCTGCGAAGAAGATAACGCTTTAGATTCGATAGCGCTTCGAGAATGATTCGACTCCACGCGCTATGAAAGCGCGCGCTTCGTGTAGGATGCGCAGCCCCCAAGACTCGAGGACTCAGAAAGTACTGACGCCAGCAGAATGGCTCTCGCCTGAGTTTGTTATAACGAACGCCTGCGCTGTTCTACCATAACGATTGCTCTTGATGCGCCTATTCGTCTGATCCGATTGGAGAGACACCGAGACGTCGTACCCATACTGGCACATCGCACGGAAAAGCTTGGCGTCATCCAAAAAGTTGGCCTGTGAAGGCCAGTCACCACGCCAAGGCGCACCTACCTCCGACATCCCGTCGAAGGCGACGCGATAGTAACTGCGCCAAGGCAGCTGAGCAGAGAGTTCTCCTTCTGGGATTTGCACGAACTGAACAGTTTTTAGTATTGCCACCTTGCTACTACTACTTGTGCTGCTGTCTACTTGCAGAAAGGGGAAGTCCCAGTTGGCCCCGGGTGCGAGTGCGTTATCTTCCCATATAATTGGTACAATAGCTATCCTCGAAGTGGCGCCGTCCGTGCTGTCATAGATCGTAGCACCGTTCATAGCCTGAAGAATGGGGGAGGATATGGAGTTCATTCTGAGGAGTTTCTGAAAAACATGATCAAACTCATACTCATCGTTCATTCTTGAAGGACTAAATATCTTCTTCCACCTCTTGTATTTTTCTTGTTGTACGCAGAACAAAGCTATTTCAAGCAGGCGGTCAAATGAAGATGCGAAGTGTGCATATCTTCCAACTAATCTGGGTAGTTTGTGAAAAATTATTATAAGTCGATAGATAAAAAACATAACAAATAAAAAAAAATCTATAAATATTATTAATCTATATAATGACTATTAGGCTATTTTATTAATCTGTTGGACCACAAGAACGCAGGCCTCCGCGCCAGGTTCGTTTCTCAGTGGAGACACAATGTGTGAATCTTGAACGCAAGCAAGTCTTGATATACCTGCCTGCGACTTATGATCACTGGCTGGCGTAGTCCCTGTCTGGTTCATTGGGTGAGATGAATCACACATCATCAACATAAGCATGTGAGAAGGGACCGGACTGAACATGAATCATACGACTAGGATCAGGATAACCATACCTAGTCTACCCATTGATCATTATGATTGTGCATTGGAAGCAGCATTCATGATCATTGGCATTCGAGCGCGAGGCTTAGTGTGAGCCACTGAGAACAGAACAACACGACATCCGAGAGGCTTGAGCCATACATGACCAACGCCCCCCCTCAATCGATGCGGGTCGAAGTCTGTCTCACGTGACAGCCTCACTGTGTATCAAGTCACGGCAATCATATCTCCTATCTAGTGTTGAGTTTAGCCCTAACTTGGCTACGATATGCGAGAAACCAAAATAAACCGAATATAGTGCGCTATAGTATAAGCTAAGCCGTCCTCATCTGTTTCATCATCAGAGGAGTCACAGCCATCGTCTCTACTGTTAGTTGTCGGGTTATCTACGTGGTGTAGCATAAGTCTACGCTGAGTGGCACTGCGGGTTAGTTTCGAAGGTGGGTCTGCCTTCATCAAGTTGGTAGGACAGAGCACGATCTTACTAGCAGCATCGCGCACTCTTAGGCAACGTAGAGCATAGTGTCTACTTTTAAGGCGAGCGCCTGTTGCTTTGGCTGTTGTGATTGAGACTGGTCGTCTATCCACAGTGCAGCATTGTCTAAGGAGGGCGGCAAGCCGTTCTGTGTTTGTACCAACTGAGTTGGAAGAGGCCTAAGGAAGTCTGTAAAGTCATGCATCTCACTGAGCACTATTGTGTCAGAGGCTGCAATATACTCACTTTCAGCCGTTGAGTAGGCTCTAGCAGTTTGTCTGTTGCTCCTCCATGCTATTGGTGTACCTTTGTAGTACATTATGGATCCACTTGTGCCTCTCATTGTCTTGATGCAGTTGGCGAAACCAGCATCACTGAATATGTTCACTTCTGGCATATCTCTGCCTTCTGGTAGAAGTTTCTCATATATCTTGTTGAATTCTTCTTCCTTTTCTGGTGAGTATTCTACTCCTTGATCTTTTGCTGTCACCTTGTACTTTCTTGGCTGCTTTGGCCATTCTTATTGACGTGGGTTTGCTGACATGTCTAGCCAGCGCCGCTACCGGTGCAGAGATATCCGGGCGCGCGGTTACAGCTACCCATAGTAAGGCACCAACTACCTCACGAAAGGGATACCCATCAACTATCTTGGTCCCGTCTTGTCTTCAAGAAAAGTCCAAGCTGTTTCGTCAAAATTGGGCGAGTAAACCGGTCTCCCTAGTTGGACTTCATACCTCTTAGCAATTTTATCGATGTACTGCTCCACGCATAGTCTGAACGACTTAGCTTCACAGCCATGGCACACGATCGCACCTAGTGACCCCACGGGGTTGGAACTGGCTCGATATCAATGTCAATCGCACGGCCTGGAGCACGTGAGGAAATGAGGTCTAGTTCGGTCCTGCGCTCATCTTGGTCAGGACCTGTAGCAAGATTGTCATCTCCGTAAACTGACATCTTCAGGAACTTCCCTGGTGCTTTGCTGCTCGGCTTGCGCCACAATCCAGGCGCAGAAGTACACGGCTCCCAACCAAGACTCACTGACTGGCTAGAGTCTCGCGATACTTCTTGAACCATGCTCGTGGTGCATCCTTCAAGCCGTATAGAGCTTTCTAGAGCTTCACGATCTCATCTCCGTGCTGCTTCGCCCAGATGGGTGGAAGACGGCAGTAGACATCTCGATCGAGTTCGGCATTGAGGAGCGCTGAATCTAAATCGAACGGGATCACATAGCCCCCCTCTGACGCAGCAGAAGTGAGGAGCATGAGCAACCTATTAGCAGCATGCGACACCACGGGAGCAAAGGTGTTTAGCTCTCCCGGACGATCTAAATTACCGAGCACGCAGGCTCTTGCCTTGCATTTTTCACATCTCTTTCTTGTCAATATGATTGCAAACGCAATGGCAATTGGTAGAGCCTGCGACGCGGTTGATAGCTGCTCGCCAGTAGCTTCTTCCCACGTTTTAAAGGCTAGTAGTCTCACATGCTCAATGTCTATGACATGACATCCTTCCACTTTTCAGCTTCAGGACAACTCTCCAACGCATTAGCTACGGACAATTTCGCACGTGATTCGACGACTTCCTCATCTTCGTCTATCTCACACGTGCCACCAAGAGCACTTGCGAACAGCGCCAAACTCTTTCTCAGTTCTTCCATTTGTTTCTTTGTTCTACGGATCCTTCCTCCAGCCTTATCCTTGGCTCCTTTCGGTCGGCCACGCTTCTTGCCGTGTGTATGACGTTCGCCTGCCACAACACGCGCGGGAGATAGCGCTTTCGATCTAATCGGACGAGGCGGGTCAGGGATTCCATCCTTCGTCTCAGCTTTCCCCTCCTCAAGTGAAGAACCTCTAGGAGAGTCGGCCACGTCGTGTTCTACCTTCTTGTCTAAGGTTTCAGCATACAGTTCTTCGGAAACACCGGTCGGCCCAGCTGAGGCGCTCTCCGTGCCAGAGAACCCCGATTGCTGACCCAGCCTTTGCACTGGCTGCCCAATCAAGGGGGAGCCCAGCGACGACGCTCCACACTGCAGGCTTTCCAGTTCATCGCACTCAATGCAAAAGCCCTTTCTCTCTGGCATTAGCCTGCCTATGTTCTTATCTTTATCAGGTAATCCTCTCTGAACTTGACATCTAAGGCAGAGTATTCCGCCCATCGATGTCCAAGCTTGCAACGATCGCCATGAGCGAAAGCAGCAACCAACCAACCAGACGACTTCGGACAGAGTCCAAGGAAGACACCGCGGCGGTATTTGGCCGAGCGCTTGGGCCCAGGAGTGTTGGCTTGGATTTGTTCACGAAAGTAAACAAGACAACCAAATCGGCGGAGCATGCCGATTTTGCTTTTGGAAGCATTTCTGCCAGTTCTTTCTTCTAGAATCTCTACTGGACTCTTTCCGTCATGTTCTGGCATTTTTGCGCAATTATGCGGAAGACGATCCCAGCAGTCACTAGCGTACCCTACACAGTAACACCAAAGACGTCGGCCAGCCTTCGTTAGCATTGTTCTCACACTGCCAAACAAGGCCCGCAAAAAACGCTCGACGGTCCCACTCATTTCCAGACTATAAAGAACAGCCAGACTGTCTGAGACCCGCAGCGATTGCATGAGTTTGGTCATGTCATCACTGCCGAGGACTGGTTCTCCATCCCTCCGGATGATTGAACCATACTGCCTTGTCATCTAGCGACGCGATAAGGGGTAGCCCTGTCGAATGCCTTTTATGACTTGTTCTATTTCCTCCACGCAGTCCGTTTTGAGCTTCAGCGGTCGACAAAGCGCCTTCTTAATTACGTCACACATGACGACTAGAACGCATCGCATAGATCTAACTGAGACAAGTTTTATCCCTACAGCAAAGTCTACTGCGAGTAGTTTGAGGGGTTCGGGTTTGTAGGTGGTCACGTCTCTAGATTTTGCGTGGGATTTTCGTTGTCCTTTAATTATGTAGGTCACATTCGGGGCAACTAACTTGCAGACCGTCTATGTGAAAGTGTCCACATCTTCTGCGTAGTTCTAATCTCGTAAGATAGCAACTAGAGGCACCTTCTTCAATTGTTGCACAAATCAAACCATGCTCAGTCTTGTCTTCAAAGAAACTACACGCGAGCGCGGGTAGCTGCAAGCGTGGGTGAGCTCTGATGGGTAGCATCTGGCCTGTGTCCGTGTGTACGATACAACCACCAGCGCCCTTGAAGTTGAACTCCCACCCTAATTGCGAGCAGTTTCCGTCTCCTAACCATGGCAATACGCGTGGCGTTCTATGTTTCCAAGAAGTGAATCGTAATGAGCTCCATTCTAAAGTCCAAGTATGTCGTTCTTGGGTTTTCCTATTTTTCCGTCTTTAGTGCCTGCACTACCTGTTATTCTACAAATGTCGTTACCGATTTCATCGAAATCGTCTTTGTGTCGTGAAAGATATTTGTTTGCACAGCTATCAACTAGAGCTGCGTCTTCTGATGTTCTAGTGTTCAAGGTTGTGGAACTATGTCCATCTGTCTCGGTGTTGTAGCTATCAGCATGATTATCAACATTCGCCATGATTTCATCTTCCTCGAAATTCAGCGAACACTTCCCAGCTTCGTGCGGTTCCGTCGCTCAGCCTTGCTCGTGCGAGTTCATGACGCTGAACAGCTCCGCAATCTGCGACATGTGGACCATGCCACTTGGATTACCCTTTCCGCCTTTGCCTTTAACACTACTAGAAGAGGCCCCGGTAGTCCAGCTTCCCTGTCCCTGTTGAAGGGCTTGCGTGTTATGCCAGCACTCAGTGGACTTGTGTCCATACTTTTGGCAGCAATAGCAGCGGGGTGGATAGGTGTTTTTGCTTCCTTTTCCTTTATCTTTCTCCGGCTTTTCTCCGCCGTTCTTCCCTCCTTTGGGTTGGTACCCGTAGGAGTTGTAGACCTCGGCGACTGCCTTCTTCTTTTCTTTCTGCTTGAAACGCTTGAGGGCGTTAGCGGAGATGAAGGTCTTACCATCTGCCTTATTGGCCTGCTCTACCTCGTCACCATCCTCATTCTTATCATCACGAGGACGCTTGTTCGAGGTTTCCTGAACATTGACCGGAAACGCTTTCCCGAAGGAATCGCTCGCAATTTTGTAGGTTCCCTCCTCGATCAACGTCGTGCGACGTTTCTCAAGTCGGTCTCCAATTTGGTCAGATGTCAGATCGTCTTCTTCTTGCATCCGCTCGATCGTCGCCTTGAAGTTCTTGCAGAACAACTCGGGCAACTTCTGCAGGATCGCTCCGCTCTGTTGATCAGCTTCGGGCAGATCTGCACCCGGCGGAAAGACGGTGGGCGACTGGTTCATGATGTCGCGGACCTTCGGCAGGAACTCCTTGGCATCAGCAGGCTGGTCGCTGTTGTGGAACTTCGTCAGTCCCTCCGACAACGGCTTGACCTTCATGCGCTGCTCCTGGCGATTGTTCGCGTTGAAGTTCCCTCGATCACGAAGTAGAGCAACAACTTCACCCGCATCCATCTCGTCCACCGCGCCACCGTTGTTCCGATTGTCGACGAACGACTTGGCCGCACCTTTCAGACTGCGAGTGGGCGCATCTTTCAGGTTGCGCCACTTCTGGCGGGTCGCGTCTTCGCGAGTGGTATTACCTTGCGGCGCACCATGTGGAGCGGCCGGCACGCTGACTACATTCGTGTAGTTCTCAAGTAAGCCTAGGCGACTAGCTTCTTGACGTACAGCACGCTGCCACTCACGCCAGTCAGATTTCTGTCCTAACTTCTTGACGATCTCCTTCGCGTCGCAGGACATTTTGATGGCTTTATTTATTTCTTTACTTCACTACTTCCAAACTTATTCACTTCTGCCGCTCAAGGGTTAGGCCAGTGCTGGACCACAAGAGCACAGGCCTCCCCGCCAGGTTCGTTTCTCAGTGGAGACACCGTGTCTGAATCTTGAATGCGAGCAAGTCTGGATATGCCTGCCTGTGACTTATGGTCACTGGCTGGCGTAGTCCCTGTTTGGTTCATTGGGTAAGGTGAATCATACACCATCAACATAAGCATGTCAGAAGGGATCGGGCTGAACATGCAGCATACGACTAAGATCAGGATAACCATACCTAGTCTACCCATTGATCACTATGATTAGGCATTGGCATCCGTGTCCGTTGAGATCATCCCGATGACAGTCGAGCGCGAGGCTTAGGGTGAGCCACTGAGAACAGACAACGCGACATCCGAGAGGCTTGAACCATACATGACCAACATAATCTATACTATTAGTCTATATTCTATATTATTCATCGAGGTTATTCATCTAGGTTAGTAAACTAGGCTACTAATCTAGGTTATTCATCTAGGTTATTCATCTAGGTTATTAACCTATATTATTTTTATTAATTATCGCCATTGATCGCCGCCATAAAACTCCCCCCTAACCCACCGGAGATGAGTCCCCTCCTTTCGCGAAGCTCTTGCCCGTAGCCTCTTGCCCTTTCCCCTCACTCTCAAGCCCAATAGTCTCCGGCCGTTTTCTTGTTGGGCTTTACGTTCCGGCCCCGTGGCAGACTACCACAAAAGAAGCCAGAAAAATGCCCGACGGGGGTAGGGGCGCAAGCTGGAGAGAGAAGCCCAAAGAGAAACAGCCGAAGAAATAGAAAGACCTCCCGCCGAAAGAGCAAAGACCTTGGACCAAAGACACGCGGACCAAAGACGACCACTGCACCAAAGACGATCATTGGACCAAAGGCGAACATTGGACCAAAGACGATCTTTGGACCAAAGCCGATCCTTGGACCACAGACGATCTTTGGACAAAAGGCGATCTTTGTGCAAAAGACGATCTTTGGGCCGGCGGCGCTCTTTGGACCAGAGGCGTCCGCTGGACCGGCGACGACCTTTGGACCAAAGACGACCGGTGGACCAAAGACGACCCTTGGACCGAAGGCGACCCTTGGACCAAAGCCGACCGCTGGACCAAAGGCGACCGTTGGACCAAAGGCGACCGTTGGACCAAAGGCGACTGTTGGACCACAGGCGACCTCTGGACCACAGACGACCCCTGGACCAAAGTAAGACGACGCTTGGACCAAAGTAAGGCGACCTTTGGACCAAAGTAAGGCGACCCCTGGACCAAAGTGAGACGACCTCTGGACCAGAGTAAGGCGACCTTTGGACCAAAGCCGATCTTGGGACCGAAGGCGATCTTTGGACCAGAGGCGATCTCTGGAACAGCGACGACCTCTGGACCAAAGGCGACCCTTGGACCAAAGTAAGGGAGCCGACCCCTGGACCAAAGTAAGGCGACCTCTGGACCAAGGTAAGACGGCCTTTAGTGTTTAGACCAAGGGCGACCGTTGGACCAAAGGCGACCGTTGGACCAAAGGCGACCTTTGGACCAAGCAAAGGCGACCGCTGGACCAGAGGCGATCCTTGGGCCACCGATGGCGAAGACCTTTGACAAAGGACGCCAGTCCGACGAACGCGGTCAGTCTGGCGTTAAACGTCCCCCACGGAGAAGGAACAGAATCAATCTCACGAAGGAAAGACATCCGCAGCCCGAAGAGAGGCCCCGCCCAGCCTGTTCCGACGCAAGGCAAACGCCTGGCGAAGCAGTGCGCCGGTCTGGCGAGAGGCGTCGCCTGGCTGGTCAGTGCATCAGCCTGACGGACGGCGCCGCCAAGCAAGCTGAAGCAAGCCATCAACCTGACCAAGCAAAGGCGCGAGTCTTGGCCCGGCGAGGAATGTCGGCCAGGCCAGGCGCTTCAGTCTGACGAAAGGCCTCAGCCTGGCGAGAGACGTCGCCCGACCCCGGCGAAAGGCCTCAGCCTGACCCAAGACGCCTGCCGAAGGGCGCCGGGCTGGCCGACGAAAGCCGCCAGCCTGGCGCAGTGCGTTGGCCTGACGAACAGCATCAGTTTGATGGAGGGCCCCCGTCTCCATCCTGGCGAAAGACGTCAGCCAGCCGAGAGGCTTCAGCCACAGCCCGACTCGCGACGCCTCACACCCCCGCGAAGTGCGCCCGTCTGTTTCTGACGAAAGACATAGGACGAAACAAAGAAGCCCCACCAGTGTAAGCGCCTAGAGAGACCCAAGCAGCGCGGCCCTGCGTTGCTTTGTCTTGTTTGGCCCGTCAAGGCCGCCCCTCGTTCTTGCCTGGCGCCACCGCGAGGCGTTTGCGTGCGTTGGGGCTTGTGGATTCTTGTGCGTGTCTGGTGGCCCTCTTCTGGTTTTTTTGTTGGACTGCCGTGAGGGTCTTGCAAATTCTTAAGAATTTGCATGACCCCCCCAGCAATCTCATAAAAAAAACGAAGGCAACGCAATGCATTGCACATGAGTCGACGCATCTGAGTCGGCCACCGCCGGCGCTCGGCTCTTGTCGTAGTCAATTCGTAGGGCGCAACAGCTCACCCGCGGGCTGTCTCTATTCTAGCGGGTGTAGCCCGTGGGAGGCCGCAGAAAAGTGCTAAACTAATTTGAAGCGGGGCGAAGCTTGTGGAGGCTAGTATTACAAGGCGGAATGGTTCTCCTGACTTTATAAGATACCTCTAGTCTTCTTAGGTCCGCATCAAGGCCTGCAACTGCATGCAAGTTTCCGCCTGCCTGTAGCAGTCTCGCCATCCCATCAACGGCTTCTCGCAGCTTCTGCATCTGGTCTTCAATGCCTCCTGGCGACAAACCGGAAGTGCGTTGCATTGCTTCAGCAGCCTGAAGATGAACGAAAGACAATGGCAAGAAGTACTACTTAACAAACTCAAACATGTGAAACATTGTGAAACTCAAACTTATACGTGGTAGTGGTTCTCCTAACTTTAATTATATGTGAGGTACCTGTCTTCCCTGTCCCCTGTTCGCGCTTCGTAAGTGTTCCGCAAGCGCAGCTTGTGCTTCCACCGCACGCTGTCCAAGTCCATCTTTCCCCTCCTCACCATGTACCAACAAGTCCTGCACATTCTTATATGCTTCTTCTTGTAGTTGTATGAAATTCCCCATGCTAACATCGTCACCATGTTGCGCAGATTGCAGTTGCTGTAGGTGCGTTCGGCGGGCGGCAAAAGTGTCTGCACCTGCAGAACTCGTTTCAGCCTGAAGAATGAAAGACAAGACAAAGAAGCTATTGGTCATTCTTGGAAAGAGATTAAGTGGATCCTTGTTGATGCTGCGGGGTCGTCCGATAATGTTAATGTTCTTCGTGAAGTACCAGATGACAGTGAAGATTGATAAGAATGAAGATCAGCCTGTATACACAATTCCGAAACTCCTACTTCATGAGGCATCAAAAGTAGTTGCTGTACTAGTTCCTTTGTATCGTCATATGCCATCCCTTCGCCATTTCCGGAACTACCGACGTCGATGTTGCCGCCCACGCGGAGATCGGCCTAAAAAATAAGGCAGGACAAGCACGGGTACAAGATGCGACTTGGACTTTCCGAAAAAAAAGATAAAACTGATCTCGTTGTAGCACCCTTCTGATTCATTCATGAGGCCTTCGTAACAAGTACAAGTCTGAAATTGATTTAGTCTGTGAAGAAGAAAAATGGTTTTATTAGCTTTTTCTTACAGTATCCAAATCCATTTTCGCGGTCGACGTGCCAGTTGAAAGAACGACAAAACTCGAAGCTTTGCGAGTGTCTTCGTCTTCCTCAATATCAATGTCGGTCAGCCCATCAGCATGAAGATTGTTTGGTGGTTCGCGCTCCCATGGAATATCTAATTTGAGAAGATTGAACACATGACATGAGCATTACAATCGAGATCAGGGAGGTAGGCGTAGGTTCAGGAAAAAGTAGGAAACTTGATAGTTTAACACAGTGAAGATGGCGCCAACGCTACAAACAATATGAATATGTTTGATCAGATGTAGGTCCCAATCAAAATATAATGATCAGATATAAGTACTCGTGTCATTTCGGTGCGGCACATGCCTCGCAGCAACATAAATCTCGAGCAAAGACGGCGTCGAAAAAAGTACTGAGCCCGACGAGAGCAGTCCTACCGTAGCAAGAGGACGGCATGCAGTTGCTTCTATTGGAGGAGGAGGGGGAGGAGGAGCGATTGATAGATGGAGAAGACGTGACCTACTTTTCATTTGGAAAACAAGTAGTTACAAAACAAGTTTGACAGGAGGTTTGGGATAAGTAAGCTGTTCAGTTGAATTGAAATAAAATGTTAATCCTCCTGATACTGGTGCTTCTAGTCTTAAAAGCAGTCCAGGGAAGCGAACGAAGCCGCTCTTTTCTCGGCGACGTTTTTCCGCATTTTCATGCCAGCGGAGAAGACCAGAAAAAAGTGCCATTTTGACCGTTAATAAACTGCCCAAGGTAGAAAAACAGTAAGTAAGCAGACTCCCCAGATCTTCTACTAGTAACGCATATTACACCCGCGGACGTTACACAGCGAAATGGTACGCGCTCACTGCGCGACCATCGAAGTGGTCACACTCCTTCCCAAGTGTCGTGTTTTGGTGCGACAAGCCCAGAGGCACGTCTGCCGATGAAGTTGGTTTCTTCAAGTCATCATGTCGTTTGTTTTTGCCTAAGTACTACAAGAACAGTAGTAAAAGATATCCTCGATTGTACAAGAATGCAACCTAGAATTGCTAAAGTATTTCATAGGGGTGGCTTGCGAAAGTTGGATAATCTTTTTCTTGAACATTCACATCTGACAGATTTCGTCTTTGGCTCTTTTGCGTCAAGAAGTTTTCAATTTCGACATTTCCACACTCACACGCTACCTCAGTCACTCGTGCTCGTCGTGAACTCTACATCAGATATCACACCCCTCTTCACTCTCATCACTTTGCCTGTTTCTCCTTTGTAACGACACGACTTGAACGAAGGAGCTGCTGGAACAGCAGTAGTTCTAGTCTTATTCCTAAATCACTTCAACCTTCACAAGCATGCTTTATGTTTGTCAATCGACATGAAGAACGATGGGTCCTCCGCACTACAGGTGGAAAAGAGCTTCATAAACCGGAAAAGAATCACGACATTGATGGTCCGCTGACCAACTTGTGCATAAATGGATTCTGACAGTGATCAAGGTCGTGTGCATCTGCGTGGTAGTTCTTGTATATTCTACGCCAATGATGTTAAGAGGGTTGCTCTCGCGAGAATCAGAAATTGAGGGAAAAAAAATTCTGAAAAACGAGAGTTCTGTGTACAACTGAAATCTATTCTCTTGTTCAACTTCTATGCTGGCCTAATCCAATTTCTATGCTAACTTCAGAGCGAAGGCGTTGTACGAAAGACACAGGACGAAGTTATCGCACCACCTGATCGACTCACCAACACCATCTAGTACTTTATCGATTGAGAACATCTTCATCCGTCGATTCTTCTACGCTTGGCTTCAGGCTGTGGTGGAAGCTGATCCGCGCCCTCCGTCAAGTTATTCCCTCTATCGACATCCGCACTTTGCTGTTGCGCAGCCTCATCTCTGATGGCTCCAAAGAGTACCTCCTTCATGTAAGCAAGCGTGTGAGCTTTCTCCGGGTGTTCAGATTTGACATATCTGAACCCCTTCGCTCTTCGCAGAGATCGTCCGTCTACAAAGAAGTAAAATGGTCCTTGCTTCTCATCTGTGCTTGATGTTTTTTCTAGTCGTGGTTGTAGTTGTTTGTCTTCTTGCTTTACACGTACACTCTCTTCTTCGACTGCAGTAGTTTTGTGCTGGTTTTCCGGCGCTAAAAGCGCCTCGAACTCGGCTTCCACCGAAGCTAAATCATCCGGATACGAACGAGGAGCGACGGCTTGTTGCTCGACGACTTTGGTTGAAGTTGTACTTCGTAGTTCTGCCGACTTGGAAGTCCTCAAAACAGTGAGCAGATCAGAAAGGTTTTTTGTGGAACTAACCTTTTGGGCCAGAGTCTTGATCCTGAAGCCAAAAAGCTTCTCCGTGTCTTTCAGAATCATCTCCTGTACGTTCCATTTGATCTCTGGTAAAATATTAGAACTATTTAAGGGAAATCCATCTTTGGTGGATTCATCTTGGTTATCAAGAATGTGTCATGATGTTCAATAGTACTACAATTGAATCTTTTATAATCATTCGTGCCCTATTTCATACTAGCCACAACATTGCTGGATCGTCATGATCAAAAATTATACCCTTATCTTGGATGAATTTTCTTACAACACTGTAATCAATGCATCTTTTCTTCAGGTCAAAGTATATTTATCTGCTAAATTCGCAACAGCTCCCAGCTGTGAAGTGCCAGACGCCACGTGCCTAGTCGTTGTGGTAGTGGTCCCTGATTGTGAACGAAATAGCTGGCACACAACGAATCCGCAATGAAGTTCCGTCTCACGTGAAAAATATGAGGCCGCTCAAAGTTGTTAAAAGTCTTCTTTTCTGTATCCTGCCACTGCTAGAAGAGCTACCACCTCAGCTCTATTCAGTTCGCGAACCAGCCGCGCTGTCTGGGGCGCCAAAGGTGAGAAATGGAGTCAGTGTGAGCTGACTAACCAGTGACGCCAAGAATGAGAACCACATTAGCGATGTCGCCCCTACGCACCGGCTGATGCTGAACCGCACCTATTCCATACACGTAATTAAAGGCGACTATCCCATCCACCTGCTCGGGCTTCTTGAGCTTGGCTCAGAAGAAGATCATGCAACAGTCAGCATCTGCAGGGAAAGCATTCCCGACGACGAGAACGAAGGCGACATGGTATTCGTCCTTGGTAGTTGATACACTTACTCAACCACTCTAAAAAACGTGGTTCCATCGTAACAGTTCTTCTTCATATTTTGGATCGTGATATGAAATTGACTTAATCATATTCAAGGCACTCTTGTTTCACTACATAAACATAGGTTGCTTGAAGGGATACATCTACTTCAAATATTCACAACAAGTATCCACCGCGCTTGTTGTCGGAGATTGATGATGATCCCACTTGATCGAATTGAAAAAAAACTAGTTCTGATAGTGATTGTGATCATGACATTCGTTCATTACGACTACACTTTTACACGAACACCGAGACTGTTTCTGATAGTGATTGTGATCATGACCTTCGTTCACTAGTACAACTACTACACTTCTCCTACAACACGAACACCGACACGGTTTCGACAGACATCGCTTTTTGCAGATCAGCTACCGCCGAGGACAAGAAGATAGACATGTGCGATTACTTTTGGCATCCAGCGTCTGGGTGTAGAAGTCTAAAGAATCGTGATAATGTCAGCATCCCCATCTTTTTCTTGTTTTTCGTCATACATCGGCTTAAAATGGTACAAGGCACAAAAATATTCATGTTTGTTGGTGCTGTAATCCTCAGAATCCGTAGTGTCAACAATTCATCCTCCACACCTACGCTTACGCATCGCAAAATTGTAGGCGTGTACAAGGTCGACCGTGTTGGTCATTATGTAGATGACGTAGTAGAGTTCTTCAAGAAAAATCAGTCTGGTTACCTATGCGTGCCTTCATGCCAATTTCCTCAACCAGAACTCAACGAATACCTTGCGAAACACCGCGCGGCTGCTGGACCCGACATTCTGCTGTGCGGCACATTCCACTTTGTAGCCACGGGGTTCGGGAGTTTTGGGAGTTTCGCTGTTGATCATTTTGTCCAACCCCAGGCGGCTGCTCATGTCTGCTACAATCGTTTCCCCAATTTTGCGATCGACTAATCTACACGGCTCCTCCCTCCCCTTGTAGTCGCCGTTGCACGGTGTGATCGATTCGATGCTGACACTCTTGTCGCCATCCCGAATCTGCGTTTGAAAAGCATCGGCCTGGCCGAACAGCTCTTCGAGCTTCGTTTTGTCTTCGATGACCGCATTCCACCAGAACTGTGGCATATTGAGAGCGAGACCACAGGCGCGGCCACCGAGGCGAGAGCTATCTCGCTGGTAGGTCAGCCTTCCAGACTAGCCTACTAGCGGCATCAGATCGCGCGAAGATGAAGGATACAGAAGTCTGAGTGTGACGCATGAATCTGAGCGCGAAGCAAAGAAAATTGATGCCGCCTGTAGGCGAGTGTGGAGAGCTCCCGAATCAATAGAAGAGAGAGAGGAGGGAAGGGAAGGAGAAAAAGAAAAGACTCGAAACGAAGTGGGAATGCGAATCGATTATGAAACGTCTGCGAAGAAGATAACGATTCAGATTCGATAGCGCTTTGAGAATGATTCGACTCCACGCGCTATGAAAGCGCGCGCTTCGTGTAGGATGCGCAGCCCCCAAGACTCGAGGACTCAGAAAGTACCGACGCCAGCAGAATGACTCTCGCCTGAGTTTGTTATAGCGAACAATGCGCTGTTCTACCATAACGATCGTCCTGACCACCTAGACCTACGCCCTTGATGCGCTCATTCGTCTTATCCGATTCCAGAGACACCGAGGCGTCGTACTCATGCTGGCATATCGCAGCGAAAAGCTTGGCGTCAACCAAAAATTTGGCCTGTAAAGGCCAGTCACCATGCCAAGGCGCACCTACCTTCGACATCCCGTCGAAGGCGACGCGATAGTAACTGCGCCAAGGCAGCAAAGCAGAGAGTTTTCCTTCTGGGATTTGCACGAACTGAACAGTTTTTAGTACTGCCACCTTGCTACTACTACTTTTTCTGCTGTTTACTTGCAGAAAGGGGAACTCCCAGTTGGCCCCGGGTGCGTTATCTTCCCATTTAATTGGTACAATAGCTATCCTCGAAGTGGCGCCGTCCGTGCTGTCATAGCTCGCAGCACCGTTCGCAGCCTGAAGAATGGGGGAGGATATGGAGTTCATTCTGAGGAGTTTCTGACAAACATGATCAAACTCATACTCATCGTTCATCCTTGAAGGACTTAATATCTTCTTCCACCTGTTGTATTTTTCTTGTTGTACGCAGTGAAATTGTCCTTGATGTCCTTCGGTAGAACTGAATAGATTCTTAGAGCTCTAGCTCTATGCTAACAGATGTCTAGTCTCTCGACTTCAGTCTCTCAGTGTTACCCTCCTCCGGCGTGAACACTTAGCTAATACTAATCAACGCACTTGCGTTTGAAATGAGCTCTAGCTCAATCTTATCTCCTATACTCTGAATCCTAGATTCTTAAACCAAAACCTAAACGTTCGTTGGGAAGAGATAGATGGATGAAATCTGGACAATCGTCCATCCGTTTCAGTGGAATGCGGTTTGCATGAGGATTGGCTCAATTTGTTCTCTCGTGTCAGCCGGTTTTGAATACTCTCTACGAGGAAACGACTGTCACATACTACTTACTCGTTGTGCCTTACAACAACCATCCTCCCTGTGACATGTCGTTAACCTCCTTATCTACTAAATACGGCTGACACAAAACCTGAACGTTAATCGAGTGATAACCGCATTACCTTCATCTGATGATATCATCACATCCTCCCTTAACGACAGCACAGGAGGATAAGATCTTAGGAATTACTCTGAAAGATATAAGTCAAGAGAGAAAAGGACTAAATAACAACAGAGTGAGAGGTTGGAAAATGACAATCGAAATTTTAATGTCATCCTTGATAAGAATAGGCGAGGAGTAAAAAGTCGTCTAAATCACAGTGGGGCAACTAAAAGTTTCAAATTCGGTGATGATTAGTAATTTCTTCTCACATGCAAAGAAAACAGCAACATGCGACACAAACTCTAAATCCTGACTTAACTTAATATCCAAATGTTCATCAATTAATTATCTATGATGCAAAAATTCCTGCTTACCTATAAGCGCCCACCTGTTGCTTGACAATCAAAACTTCCTCCCCTGCTTTTATGCCTACCTCCAGTTGTCCGCCAACTAAAGAAGCCTGTAGGCGACCTTGGGTAAAAAAACACAACGTCCATGTGATTCATTTTGTATGCCTGCAGAACTACTCTTAGAACTCGTGACTTGACAACTCAAACAACAAAATATATATGTCTTCCTAGCCTTTCCAAAACTCGATAACCTATGCTTAAGCGAAACTTGAAAAGATACTAGTCTGACCTATGGTAGAACTATGTTATGTCTGTCCTCATAATCAATCCAGACCCTCTGTTGCTGATTCATACCATCCTGCTCGGCCCCTAGATATCGGATTTCCAACATAAATTTGTCCATCCCAAAATATGTATGAATGAGTTCGATGAGTTCCAGCACCTGCTTTCTAGGTTCAAAGCCTATACAGACCGGTGGGTCTCCAAGGTTCGCTATCAGAGGAAGCTTATCCCCTTTGACGGTGAGACACTTCTGTCGTTGACGATTAACAACAATAGTCTTACCTACTTCCTTAATCCTCTTATCCTTTCGTAGGATGTCAATGCTTTCCTTGTTCATTAGGAAAACCATGACTTCGAACAAATCCGTCTTCGGCGACCCCATCTTCGGAACTGGCAGAAAATCTTCAACTACCTACCTTACCTACAAAGACTATTCGATCCACGTCTGAGGCAGCTATGAGGACTCTATCAAACTCAAGCGAGGAGATCCGAATATTAACTAACACCGTGTCCTTTTTCAGTACTTCCTCGAGATAGTGAAACAACTTAGTTGTCATGAAAAGTTTAGCCGGCTTGAAAAAAATTTGTTGTTCGTGGTGCCAAAAAATGTTTTTCTTATCCTCCTTCACTTCAGAGCAACGAACTTCAAAGAATTCACCAGAATACCACAAACCAGTACCAGGACAACCGTCACGTCGATCAACTACACGCCCACCTATGTGTTCCACAAAACACTGAAAATCCTCGTTATCGAGAATAACGTCCCTTAGTTCGAATGGCTGGTCTATATAGAGCTTAGGCAACTCCATGATATACTGCAAATAGTCCTAAACCTAATCAGTCCTAACACCTAGAATTCAACGAAGTGATCACCGCTCGCAACTAGCCTCAGCGATCGAAGAAATAGAAATACCACTGTCTCATGGAAATGTTACCAAGATGAACACGATTCAAAATAATATTACCGTGACGTCGTGACGTTGCTCTATCCCTAAGATTCACCGTCACTCTTTGGAGAGGCAGCACTTTCTCACTCATTAAATACTGAGCCAAATCATACATGAGAGAATCACACCGCACGAGGACGAAGCTGTTTTCCAGATACTTGTAGTATATACGACTATTCTTAAGATAATACTTAGGCTGGCCCCGGGTGTTAGGGAGCACCGAAAATCCACCTCGTTTACCTAGATATTCGATAAACACTTGATTCTTCACCTTAATGGAAAGAACATCGAACGTTTTCCCTGAGGGATTATATGTAGCCGGCATATTGTGCTCCTCGTTTAAACAACATCTGAATTTTATCTAATAGTTACACAAACCAACACCTAGTACCTATTTCCCTGAAGTAGTTCCTTAGTATGTATTACTTGATTCAAACCCAGCAACTCTCCAATTTAGTAGTATGTGATCCTTGTAACCCAAACTTCGAACTTCAAAATGTTGTTATGTTTAACACAAGGCCCCTTATCTATGGAAAATTTATGAAAACACTTTTCTTCCACCCCCTCTTACCTGAAAATCGACAACAGTCATCAACTTGACCACCCTCTTGTTGACCCAACCTGCGTCTATAAGATATGATATGAAACTGTTTTTTGACCTACAAACATCTGATAACAACCTTACTCTTAAAATGCAACCTCTTTTCTACTCAATGTATGGAAATTGACATGTTCAGCAATCATTTACCATTAATAAACAATCAAAACAATGCAATTCTGCTGTTCATTCATCCTCCCATACCATGATCGCACATTTCCTGGCACCAAACCGAGTGCTCTTCCATGTTTTTCAAAATTTCAATTATAATGGAAAAGGAACCTATGATTTCCGAGCTTACTCCATTTCAAACTTTCTATGTGTGTCTCGGGTTGATGCGGAAAATATGAGGCATAGAGTGCAGATGCAACAAGAAGGAACAATAACCTTTTATCACCAAACACCTCATTAAAGGAGCAAGACATTTCAATTCTTTGCCTCCGATCCTTCAGTTAAAATTCAAGGATGAACTTCACCTTTTCGGACAATATTTGATCAAATGTATTTTAACTTACAAAACGATCTAGATCCCGATGATTTTATCTTTCAATCCAAGAGATCACTTGATTTAATTAACCTTCTCTTATTGATCTTTTTCGTCTCCTTCGTTTTGTCAAACTCGACCAGCGCAGCATCGCCATAGTCCTCGAGGACCTTTCCAGCCTCGTATGGTAGTTGGAGGTTATGATGGACGTCTCTCAATTGCTCATTAGGTGCTAACTTGATGAGACAACGCGTATTAGGTGACCACCGCACGACTGGTTTCGATTCCTGTTCCGCTTTCTCAGCCATCTCGTCACGAACGCGACTATAGACGTTATACATCCTCTTGAGTCTGTCCAGCATCATCTTCTCTACTGATGTTTGCGCTTCGCCTGCTGCTACTGAAAAATCCACTGGTCTCCTACCCGTGACGTATTCAAAAGGAGAAATCAACCCAAGTTGAAGTCTCGGCGATGCTCGTATGGCCCATTGGGCCGGTTTGATGAGAGAGGACCATCTAGTAAAACGAGCACGTCCATGATCTAAGAAGAGCGTCTCCAAGTAGATGCGAATCGTCTGCCAAGCGGTGCGATGTGAGCGCTCCGTGATGCCCTGCGTCCTGGGGTTATACGCTGATGCCAGTCTCCAGGTAGAATTCGTAAATTTCGCTAACGCCTGCGTTACTTCGGCTGTAAAGTGCGTGCCTCTGTCCGAACGAATCACCTTCGGCCTGCCAACTGCAAAGATGACATCTTCAAGTAGACCTTTCGCAGCTGTTTCCGCCGTAGCATCAGACGTAGAGCGAAACCAGCAAAACCCCGAGTGTGAACAGCTCATGGTCAAGATATACTTGAACCCATCTGATTCTGGTGCTATTGGTCCCACAAAGTCAATCTGGATATCCTGAAAAAGATCCGGGACGGTACGATACGTCCCTGCCGGCTCCGGGTTAATACCAATCTTGCCTTGCTTGCACACCTGACACTTCTTGACGAATTTCCGTACTAGCTTCGAGAGTCCACGCACAAAGACGACGTTACGAACTAGATCATAGGTTGCATCCGATCCACGATGTTGACCTAGCGTGATGTCCTGATGAGCGGCATGCAGCAATGGTGAGAGTTGGCTGCTAGTAGGAGGGACCGACAAAAGGTACCTAAACTCAACCCTGCGCTCATCAAAGGTTCTCCGAAAATGTAGTCCTGTCTGTTCATCTTTGATGTGTTGCGACTTCTCAAGCACCGTAGCGTTCAACAGGTACTTCTCCTGCTCTTCCCGAAGTATTTCCAAATTGACATGGAACAACTCCTGCACCTGTTCTAAGGCAGCTGATGTTTGTCGTTGGAACCATGTCTGCTGATGGAGTGGTAAAGTAGTAGTATCAACCGTCTCCGTAGGTACCTTAGGCTTACCTGACCACACTAAAGACTTTTTACCCGCTTGCTCCCCGTCCGTATCACCACAAAGGCCGGGTTGACTAGTCGTGCTCGTTGTGTTAGTAGTATTCATCGCCGACGGCAAACAAGCAGAACCAAAAGCAACAGGAGTAGTTGGTGATGAAGAAGAAGAAGAAGTTTGTTTCTTCTCATCCGCAAACGAAACTTTCTTCGACGAGGTGGCGTTCTTCGTTCGTACCTTCCTATTTGCAGAAGTATCAGTATCCTGTTCATTACTATCCAGCGCGTCCAGCATGGTGAAAAACTCTGCGTCTAATTGCTCGTAATCGTCATCATACCAGAGAAAATTCACACAGCGCCGTCTTTCCTCCCGCAACAACTTGTCAAAATTGTTCCTTTCCTCCTCAAATGAACGCACACGCTTAAGTGCTTGTCCTGCGTAAAATAGTGCTCGTAATCCTCCCAACGCTTGTCCTGAGAAGTAAGCATTCTGTCTTGGATGACCATTTGCAGACACTACTTCCTGTGTGTACTTGACATGGTAAGTAGTAGTATTACTACCATCATTTTTGAAGTACAAGTAGGCACGCGTCGCCTTTTTCGACTTCTTCGGGAGTTTATCCTGCGCTGAAATTCTATGAGATTTGGCACTCTTCACCGGTGCAACCACCTCCCTCTCAAAACCAACAGAAACGTCATGAACCGGTGGAAAAACATCATCAGCTCGCGCACAACTAACAAAACCGCAGCGTTGTTGTTCCAGTAGTACTTCAAACGTATCCTGAACCAGAAGTTGTTCATACCTAGCCGTGGTCAATGTACTAGTTTCGTTGACTGCTGCAACCGCTTCTGGTACTGTAACAACAGAGCTATCCTCCCGCTTCCTAGCGTAAACACCTCTTTTCGCTGTTTTATCATCACGCTTCGGGATGAGTCGAGCTAATTCATCCGCCTCCGCATCGGTTAGTTTAAACCCAAAGAAGCGTAGCATTGCTCGTCGAACCGGAGATAGAGAGTGCAGGATGTTAGGTGAGTCATCTCGTCCCACAGCAGGATACCGCGACATAAAGTCCGCGCCTCCATTGTTATCCCCTTCGATGTAGCAGCGTTCGTAGTTTGGTCCGATTTCATCACAGTGGATGGCCCAAGAGATGTGCTTGCGTAACACTCTACGGTTTTTCAAATCAAGCAGGAAGGTATTTGCTTGATGATCAGTAAGAAGTCTGCATCTTCTACCATTAACCAAGACTCGAGTACCCTCGATAGCTTGCTTCGCTGCATAACTCTCCTTCTCCGTAACCGTCCAGTACAATTCAGAGTCGCTAAAGGTGCCATGCCCAACGTCACAAATCCGCGCATCTTTACTAGTTCCAGGGTACTCTTCTACTAGTACGTATCCCCATCCGTAGTCTGATGCATCGACGTAGTTTGCTAGCTCGCCCTCACCGGTGGGAGGTTGGAAACTAATGGTTGAAAGCAGTTTCCTTGTCCACTTGATCGCCCCTTGTGCCTTTTCATCTCCGACAAAATCCTCGAATTTAGCTCCTTTACGCGAATACTTATTCAAATGGAACGACAACGGAGCAAAAAACGCAATGCGTTTCCCCAACCAATTGACTAGGCAACGATAGGACACTACGTCCGCAATGGTCTGAGGTTCCCGCAAGTTGTTGATGAGATCCTTCTTCCTGTTAGTAACATTCCAGCCGCCGAGTCCTACCTCATAGCCCAACAGTGGAGCTTTGTTCGCAACAAACTGACACTTCGGCAAACTAATAAGCCAATTCTTGGCACGTAGTGCAGGAAGTGTCACATTCTTCAAGTGGTTGATGTGTTCGATGCGCATCTCGTCCGTGATGTAGTCCTCAGTGATGGCGTGAGCTGGTGCTTGTCCTGTACCTGTGTGAACATCGTCAAGATAAGCTTTCGACTTTTGATCCTCCCGTAGTGTGACGTCCACTCGTTGCTGAAATTCCCATGGAAACGTTGCTGCTCCGAATCCAGCAACCGTAGGGGACAACAATTGGCGATTAAACCCAATAGTATGAACCTCTTGCGCCGTGTCATCCAATTCCATCAAGTGAAATCCAGACGGAAAATCCATCATCGAGTGCACTAATGCCTGTGCCGCTTCACGGAGCATGTGTTCCGTATTTGCCTGTGACCACTGTCTTTTCACTACTACACTGTTGGCCTTGACGTATGAGAAGATGGGTCTTGCCAAGATGCCTTTTGGTTCTGAATGATGAACGAACGCAGCAGCACGAAACCTACTTCTAGCATTACGTTCGTACAACTGACCATCCTCCTTGAACCACCGAATATGCGCCTCCAAGATTTTCTTGTCCCAGGAATCCAAATCATATTCAGGACCGAACAAGCCTTTCGTACTCTGAACTTTTTTCTCGTCAAGTTCTACTGATAGTGGTGGAAAATCTACGAGCCGCAGCGGTTGTCCAGGTAGCCAGCAAATGTCAGAGAATTGTGAGATGGTGTCGTTGAGGTGCGCTCTAACACGCGGCGATAGGTGTGTGTAGTTCGCGTCGATGTGACTTCTAAGACGTTGTTTGTACTCTTCTGAATTCTGATCAAGGCGTCCCTCGCGTGCCTTGGCTCTTTCCTCATCCTTCTTCTTGATTGCTGCTTCTAGTGCTGCCCAATCACCTTGGAACTTTGCTTTGGCTAACTTCCTGTATGATTGAGGATCGGAGATGGCAGAAATAGGAATATCCTCTCGTTCGTGCACTTTCGCCCAGCGTAGTAAATCGAATTCCGAAGGTAGTTCATCTTCATGATTGGTGTTGTCGTTGTGGGAGCAGTAGAGATCACGGATGCCATAGTATGTTCCTCCGTGCTTCCAAGAGCCTAGTGCTTCATCTGGCTGATAAAACGGACTCCAGCGTATCGAACCTAGGCACGGCCATCCAATAAGTAGCAGACAAAACAGCAACGGAAAAACGAGGAAAACAAATCGCAAAGTGATAAAACGACCGCAATCCGCAACCGCGTCGAAATTCAGGATAATTGCTTTCTCCACTTTCTTGGCATCCTTGGCAAAAGACATTAATGGCACATCAACTCCCCATTCGTGTTCGATCTTCGACTTGTCCTTAGCTCTGATTGCTTCACAAAATGAAGACTTGATGAGATTCTTCGCGGATCCTGGGTCTGGATGTCCAGGGATTTTAATCCCGCAGACTCGATAATCCGCTCTGTACGTAGCATGCGGAACAAAGGTGTAATCCTCACCTTGCGGATCTAGTTCGGCTTGTGGACTCGCTGCGACAACGCCCGGTGGGCAAAACGAGTCCATCTTGCAGATCAAGTTCGAAAATCGTCCAACGCACAAGGTGGGTTGAATTTGTTGCTGTTCCTGACTGAAGAGTTCATGATCAATGCGTTCCTTATCGTATCGCGCAAATTGAAGGTCTTCAACCATAGCGTCCGGGACCGCCGCAATTCCCAATGGTTGATCCGGGTGATTGTCATCTAAGAACTGCTTGAGAATATCCTCATCAGATGATTCCTGGTCATCACTTTGGTCTACTATTGCTCCTACTTCGTTGACTCCATTATAAAATTGTTGGAGGATATCTTCATCTGACGGGCCAGTAATAGCCGCAAGGACATGCGCCGAAGGTTGCTGCAGTGCGCCAGCTGTATTTCCTGATGTTTGATTCTGACCAGAAGTTGCTTCGGGGGTCGGCGTCTGTTGAGAAGATGTAGTAGAGTCGTTCTGTGGTACGGAAATTGCTGCCGTCGGATTCTGATGTTGGTCCTGGTATTGCATCCAGGAATGATCATTCCACGACTCGTGCCCCCAATTGGTGAGATCATACGCCGCACTTCCATCGTAGCCACTGTCGTAGACAGCGTTTCCCCATTCGTCGTATGCCTGGATCGCAGCAAAGTAGTTTACGTCATCTTCCAGCCAAGACGGTTCCCACCAGCCAGAATCATGCTCCTCGCCGTCCTGTCCGTCATAGTTTTGTGCTGCTTCAGATGCTGTGATCGCTGCAACTTGTTGACCTTTTCTACCCTTTCCTTTGTTGTTGACGTAACTGGCACCACCACTACCTTTCTTGCCTTTCGTTCCAAAAGAGCCTTTCTTGCCTTTGTTCCCTTTTGATGATGAGAAACCTTTGGATTTTCCTTTTCCTTTCGTTGTACTTTGTCCTCCTTGTTTCTTCTTCAATTCAGCATGATGCTTCGCCAGATGGCCACGACCATTGCAGTAGCACTGTAATTCCCCAAGCCAGAAGTTGCATGACATTCCGTTGTGAATGATGGAGTCGGCGTCCTCTTTCCCTACTACTTGATTCGGACAATTCGATTGAAGATGCCCCGCTCCGTTACACCTGTAGCACCAAAGTTGTGCCTGCGGACTTGCAGCTACTGGGTCTGCGTCATGAGTTAAAATCGAGGCAACTGGATCCTTTCTTGAATTCGCAATCTTCCGATTAACTTTGATGCCATTGTTCGCGATGTAACGACGGCAGGCGCTGACCGCACTTCTATCCAGTAGTGGATTTATTCGTAGTTCTTCTACTGTGTATAGTGGTGGATCAACTTGCTCGCACGACACTTGCTGAGAAGAAACGTGGTCTCGAAGGACGCGTGGTAGTTTGTCTAAGAAGTCCTGAAGTGCACGTCGATCCGACCCAAGATCGGAGTCCTTGCGTTCCTCGCGATTTTCCTTTTCTAGGACATCTAGACGTAGATCCGTCCACTTCTGATAGAAGGTTTCAAACTCCTCAACACTACTACAACGCAGAAGACGGTATTGGCCTAAGGGATCTTCAAATCTCCCAGTAGTTGTTACTCCAAACGCGGATGGTAGTACACGTTCTACTAGATTGGTCCACAGTTGTTTGGCTTTGTTCTCATCCAAACTGAGGCTCCTGATCTCGGGATTTTGTAAGGTATATTGACGCATTTGCGTCTCCGTTGCCCCGACTGCGACCGCTTTTAATGCTCTGAGTTTTTCGCCATACGTTTCGATTTTTGCGTCCGCAAATCTGTTGAGCAGTTTGGAGATCATCTTGTCGTACTGGGCAGGATCAGAGAGGTCAATACTCCCGTTCATCTCCTTTTTGAACAAGTCGACCTTCTTCGCTAGCGCTGCTTCATCTTGCACTTTGGTTGTCGTCACAACTTGTTGTCCCGATGTGGTAGATGAAGTAGAAAGTCTAGGGTCTGGCGCACCTCCTAAAAGTACTTGAGGCAAGTGAACCCCAGGAGAAGTGCTCATCTGGCTGGTGCGACGATCCCCAAAGACTTCTAGACGATCTAGTTCAAAGTGATCAAGTTCAGCAACCAAATCCTTTGCTTCCACTCCAATTCCTCTCGGTTCCCTGTACTTCTGGGCATAATTCGACTCGTGGTGTGAGATTTCAAATGTTTGAAGTTGGAAATAGATGCATAGCCTCACTGTAGGGTCGAGTTCGTTTGTGCGTTGTTCGTAGTGCAACGCGAAATCCTGCTGGTCAATAAGAGTTTCGACCGCGAAGATTCGTGTGACGCCTATCTTTTTCAAGTAGATGGACCTGAGCAGTACTCCCGACGCTCCATCGGGATTTTGGTTTTGATGGAAGTAGTAATCACCAGTCTTCCATATCCAGTGCGGTGGTGGTCCATCATCTCCTGCTTGTTGTAGAGGCGGAATAGATGTCGGTTGATGCAGGGTACGACGATCCATCGAGGAAGGAGCTACAGGCGTAAACATGTCTACTCTTCTTGCATTCTGTGTAGCAGGTGTAGCTGCAAGAGGATCCCCCATCTGCTGTGAGGGCAGTCTGTTCGGTGGCATCGTTTGTGGATTCTGCCCCTTTCCACCTTTCCCCATTGGTGGTGGTGGAAGTGGTACTCCTGGTATTAGGTTGTGATAGTTCATAGTGCCGGGGGACAATTGTTGGTGATATGGATTATCCCTATTCATTTTGGTTTCAGACTAGTCGTTGTTATACTGCTATATCTTCTCGGGAACTACTGAATCCGTAGTTATCGATGATGGCTTTCAGCTACCGCGACCGTTGAAACGCGAAACGTGTTACAACCACAGTGAGGACAAGAGAAGTTTCCGTTTGAGGCGTCGTCGTAGACCTCACTGGAAATAACAGTCCAAGCTGATGAAGTGATAATCTGATGTGTCTGCTGGTAGTCCTGAGACACTACTGTTACCAGTGAAAGTCCAAAATTATGTTGATCAAGGTAATCCAGGATGCGCAAATGCTCGTAGTGACGTACTAGAAGGTTGTCTGACAAATTGTGAAAAGTGACGATGTCTGTCGGAAGGCGATGAAAGGTCGTTCCTTCAGTCTGCGAAAAGGCGTAGTGCTCGTTTAGTATCACAACGCGAAGAATCTGGTTCACAACTGCACGTGGCGCGGATATTGACAAAATAACGTCTCGACCTGGTACGTACTCGCCCCTACTCAGCTCTGGCACTCGTTGAACTAGAGCTCCTAGAGATTCGGACGTCGATCGTAATTTAGCGTGAGCGGTTCCCATCGGTATGTACCTCAGCCATAGGGAGACTGTATCTCCGCTTCGCTATCGATGCTCTACTTCCACTTTCTTCACACGTACTCGATGTCTAGGAGCCAGCTGTGTATGCTGACTCAGCAGGCGAAGTCGGTTCGTAGTGGAACGTCTGAATGTCGTAAAACAGTGCTTCCGCTTGTGTGATACCAAGCTCCAAATCAATTGTCGGCCTGCGATCAAGCAACTCAAGTTGTGGGTCCTCCAAAAACGTTTCGGGTGGTGTTAACTGACTCCGTAGCAAACGAATTTCCTCACGAAGTGAAGTTACTTCTGTCTGGAGTGAAGATACTACTGCTCCTTGTCTTCTAGTAAATTCCTGAAGGTGAAGATGTATTTCGTCCAATCGATGGACCATGTGATCCGTAGTACGTGAGACACTGGTGATAATTTCGTGAGATGTTTCGGACCGCTGAAAAATCGTCGTGATGGAAGCCGCAATGCTTTGTAGAGTTTGAAGAACCTCCACTATTTGTTGCTGTACCGTGCGTAGTAGTCGATACATGGATGCTTTTCTTCAGTCTTAGTCTTCAAGGTGATAGGTTTCCAGGAGGAGATGCATCGTCCTGCCACAATCCTGCTTCAAGATCTACTTCGCGTCGATTCAGAAGATGTTGGATGTCTGGGATTTCCAACACTACTTCAGGTGGTGTAAGTTGATGGCGGAGTAGTTGGATCTCCTGCCTTAGTTGATGTAATTCGTGCTGAATATCGCGTGAGTGGCTGCGATGTGCTCTGATATGCTCCTTCAATGTCGTAGCCGTGTGATAAACCGTTTTTGAGATATCATTAAGCAGAAGCCGAAATCGACGACAGAGAGAAACAAGGTTATCCGTCCGTTCGGAAACTGTGAAGAGCGATTCTCGTATAGTTCGCAAAATCTTGTACATGCTTCAGTGCAATAAGGCTCGAGCCTTCGTAGGTAGAGACATAACTTTGTTACTTTTACTTATATAGCCGGAGGAGTTAGTTAGTGGAAAATCGTTCTAGTTTACAACCCAGTGTTTCGTCACCTGATATCTCAACTACTCATGACTCAAGGTTTTGGTATTTACAATATATATATCTATACATATATATATTTATTTATTTTATATAATTATAATGCTGTAATGTCTAGTGATTTGATACCCCGGTAATTCATTTCGTCTACAAGACCCCAGTTGAAATTGTCCTTGATGTCCTTCGGTAGAACTGAATAGATTCTTAGAGCTCTAGCTCTATGCTAACAGATGTCTAGTCTCTCGACTTCAGTCTCTCAGTGTTACCCTCCTCCGGCGTGAACACTTAGCTAATACTAATCAACGCACTTGCGTTTGAAATGAGCTCTAGCTCAATCTTATCTCTTATTCTCTGAATCCTAGATTCTTAAACCAAAACCTAAACGTTCGCTGGGAAGAGATAGATGGATGAAATCTGGACAATCGTCCATCCGTTTCAGTGGAATGCGGTTTGCATGAGGATTGGCTCAATTTGTTCTCTCGTGTCAGCCGGTTTTGAATACTCTCTACGAGGAAACGACTGTCACATACTACTTACTCGTTGTGCCTTACAACAAAGCTATTACAAGCAGGCGGTCAAATGAAGATGCGAAGTGTGCATATCTTCCAACTAATCTGGGTAGTTTGTGAAAAATATCACAAGGCGGAATGGTTCTCCTGACTTTATAAGATACCTCTAGTCTTCTTAGGACCGCATCAAGGCCTGCAACTGCATGCAAGTTTCCGCCTGCATGTAGCAGTCTCGCCATCCCATGAACGGCTTCTTGCAGCTTCTGCATCTGCTCTTCAATGCCTCCTGGCGACAAACCGGAAGTGTGTTGCATTCCTTCAGCAGCCTGAAGATGAACGAAAGACAATGGCAAAAAGTACTACTTAACAAACATGTGAAACATTGTCAAACTCAAACTTATAATATATCATAAGGGGTAGTGGTTCTCCTAACTTTATAAATGAGGCACCTCGCCGCTTGCGCTCGCCGCGTCCGGGTCGTCTCCTTGGCGTTCAGGTCCATTGTCTGCCTCATCTGAATGCTTTTTCAGCTCTTGGAACCATTTCTCCAGATGCTCTCGCTGTTCTTCTTGTAGTTTCCCCAGTTGTTCTCGGCTCACTAAAACTGTCTTTTCAGCCGCCGCAGCCTGAAGAATGAAAGACAAGAAGTGACATTACTTTCAAGGAAACTAGTAGTCGTTCTTGAAAAGATCATCCCATAATAGTCTTCGAAGTAGATAAAGATAGTGGTCATAAAAAATGGAGTTGTAGAACTTTCTGAGCCTTCATCTTCTTCGAGACAATAATTTCGAAACCCACACTTGTACTTGCGGGAGAACGAAGAAGTTGTCTGGTTGTGGTTCTCTTTTCACATGTTCATTTTATCTCTATATATCGCATACCTCCTTGCTGACCTGCTCCACAACCCCCGTCGAAAGAACGACAAAACTCGAAGCCTTGCGAGTGTCTTCGTCTTCCTCAATATCAATGTCGGTCAGCCCATCAGCATGAAGATTGTTTGGTGGTTCGCGCTTCCATGGAATATCTAATTTGAGAAGATTGAATACATGACATCAACATTACAATCGACATCAGGGAGGTAGGTTCAGGAAAAAGTAGGAAACTTAATAGTTTATCACAGTGAAGATGGCGCCAACGCTACAAACAATATGTGTGATTAGATGTAAAAAGTCCACATCAAAATATCTATATTATACGGTATAATGATCAGATTTAAGTACTCGTGTCATTTCGGTGCGGCACGTGCCTCGCAGCAACATAAATCTCGAGCAAAGACGGCGTCGAAAAAAGTACCGAGCCCGACGAGAGCAGTCCTACCGTAGCAAGAGGACGGCACGCAGTTGCTTCTTTTGGAGGAGGAGGAGGAGGAGGAGGAGGAGGAAGAGGAGGAGGAGGAGAAGCGATTGATAGATGGAGATCACGTGACCTACTTTTCATTTATTGGAAAACAAGTAGTTACAAAATAAGTTTGACAGGTGGTTTGGGATAAGCAAGCTGTTCAGTCGAATTGAAATAAAATGTTAATCCTCCTGATACTGGTGTTTCTAGTCTTAAAAGCAGTCCAGGGAAGCGAACGAAGCCGCTCTTTTCTCGGCGACGTTTTTCCGCATTTTCATGCCAGCGGAGAAGACCAGACAAAAGTGCCATTTTGACCGCCACTAAGTTGCCCAAGATAGAAAAACAATGAGTAAGCAGACTCCCCAGATCTTCTACTAGTAACGCAATTTACACCCGCGGACGTTACACAGCGAAATGGCACGCGCTCACTGCGCGACCACCGAAGTGGTCACACTCCTTCCCAAGTGTCGTGTTTTGGTGCGACAAGCCCAGAGACACGTCTGCCGATAAAGTTGGTTTCTTCAAGTCATGTTTTTTGTTTTTGCCTAAGTACTACAAGAACAGTAGTAAAAGATATCCTCGATTGTACAAGAATGCAGCCTAGAATTCCTAAAGTATTTCATAGGGGTGGTTTGCGAAAGTTGGATACTCTTTTTCTTGACCATCCACATCTGACAAATTTCGTCTTTGGCTCTTTTGTGTCAAGTTTTCAATTTCGACATTTCCCCACTCACGCGCTACCTCAGTCGCTCGTGTTCGTCGTGAACTCTACATCAGATATCACACTCCTCTTCACTCTCATCACTTTGCCTGTTTCTCCTTTGTAACGACACGACTTGAACGAAGGAGCTGGAACAGCAGTAGTTTTATTCCTAAATCACTTCAACCTTCACAAGCATGCTTTGTGTTTGTCAATCATCATGCAGAACGATGCGTCCTCCGCACTACAGGTGGAAAAGAGCTTCCTAAACCGGAAAAGAGTCACGACATTGATGATCCGCTGACCAACTTGTGCATAAATGGATTCTAACACTGATCGAGGTCGTGTGCATCTGCGTGGTAGTTCTTGTATATTCTACGCCAATAACGTTAAGAGGGTTGCTCTCGCGAGAATCAGAAATTGAGGGAAAAAAAATTCTGAAAAACGAGAGTTCTGTGTACAAGTGAAATCTATTCTCTTATTCAATTTCTATGCAGACCTAACCCAATTTCGAACGAAGGCGTTGTACGAACGGAACAGGACGAAGTTATCGCACTACCTGATAGACTCAGCATCTAGTACATTATCGATTGAGCACATCTTCATCCGTCGATTCTTCTACGCTTGGCTTGATGCTGTGGTGGGAGCTGATCCGCGCCCTCCGTCAAATTATTATCTCTATCCGTATACGCACTTTGCTGTTGCGCAGCCTCATCTCTGATGGCTCCGAAGAGTACCTCCTTCATGTAAGCAAGCGTGTGAGCTTTCTCCGGGTGTTCAGATTTGACATATCTGAACCCCTTCGCTCCTCGCAGAGATCGTCCGTCTACAAAGGAGTAAAATGGTCCTTGCTCCTCATCTGTGCTTGATGTTTTTTCTAGTCGTGGTTGTAGTTGTTTGTCTTCTTGCTTTACACGTACACTCTCTTCTTCGACTGCAGTAGTTTTGTGCTGGTTTTCCGGCGCTAAAAGTGCCTCGAACTCGGCTTCCACAGAAGCTAAATCATCCGGATACGAACGAGGAGCGACAGCTTGTTGCTCGACCACTTTGGTTGAAGTTGTACTTCGTGGTTCTGCAGACTTGGAAGTCGTCGTGGCATTGGCATTGCCACCTGGTGCTGGTACAACATTACTTCTGATTCCACGGCTCGTCTCTTCCCTTAAACCGCGTAAAACAGTGAGCAGATCAGAAATGTTTTTTGTGGAACTCACCTTTTGGGCCAGAGTCTTGATCGTGAAGCCAAAAAGCTTCGCCGTGTCTTTCAGAATCATCTCCTGTACGTTCCATTTGATCTCTGGAAGAATATTAGAACTATGCATATATAAGAGAAATCCAGCTTCGGTGCATTCATATTGGAGGTTATATCCCGGTTAAGTATTCCCTGTTCAAAAGCGATTTATTGTTTGAAGGGATATTAAGCCTAAGATTAGAGGGAAAACTAACCTGTGGAAAAACGAGGAGGACCAAGATGTTGCTGGGGAACAAAGATGGATTTTCAACCTTGTTGTTTGTAGCCTTAAAAATAGTACCCGTATCAATGCACGTCTGCACGTAGAGTCGCAGACACTCTTCCCGTGAGGGCACAGTGTGCGCTTGTGCAAGTGCCGCGATGTTTCTAATTTCATCTTTTTCTGCTTCGTTTCGCATCATTTGCCTCACTTGCGTGAAGAGTGCCAGATTCCACTGTGCCCCACGTGCGATCATCAACGGAATTTGAGGGTGTAACTTGCGAAAGCAGCGGACCTGTTCTAGATTGAAAAAGTCTCCGTTCGCAATGAGCGGAGGCGCGCTCGCTAGATCAATCCGACGACCCTGAAAATTGGTGATCTCCCCGCGCGCCGCCAAGGCTTGCCTCAACTCCAAGAAAAGCGGCCATCTCGCAGGTTGCCGTGGTCGGTCCGGGATGTAGCGCATGTGCACGCAGACGGCGTCCGCGCCTGCCTCGAGAAGTTTTATGACCAAATTGCGCGTGCGAAGCACGGCCGCCGCATCCCGGTCTGGATCAGAATCCACGGTTGCCGCACTCGAACAAGAAGTCGTCGTTTTCTTCACCTCTACAGTGTTGACGTCAGTTTCACGCACAAAACGGATTTTGCAAGTGACGCTCTTCTCCCTTGGCAAATTGGCTCGCAGGTTCTGCACAATACGCGCTGCCAAGGGCGGTTGGGACAACAACGCGGCACCCATTCCACCTTTGACGGAGAAGCTCTTTGGACAGCCCATATTCACGTCTACACCGGCTACGTCCTCGATGACGACGCGGGCTGCTGCGAGAGCGCGATCCGGACAACAGGTACCGAGCTGAAAGATCGTCCGATTTTGCCGCACTTCGCTGTCGGTCGTCCGAAACACCGATTTCCTCTCCCCGCCTTTATTGCAATTCGGGTTGCGACTTCCTAAGAATACTCCCGATGCTGTAGATCGGGCAGATTCGACCTGGCCTTCATGATTGGCTTTCGGCCCGTTCGTCGAAGCACCAAGTGGGGCGACAGAAGATGCCTCTTCTGGTGTGGCTGCGGGAGTTGGCGGGCTGCTTGTCGCCTTTTCTTCTACCGGTGAAGATGTTGCAGATGGAGGAACTTCCTCTGGAGATGGAGGAACTTTTGGAAGAATAGCACCATTCACATTCCTCCCAGAGGAGGACCCAGCAGTAGAAGCTGAAGTAGTTGTAGGACAACTTGTTGCAGAAGGCGGAATACCAGACCCAGTAGGAGCAGCAGGAATTGCCTTTTCTTCTCCCGGTGAAGATGCTGTTGGTGCTCCCACGTAATATTCAATGGTTCCTGGATAATGGGGATTTCGGAATCGCTGGGCTTGAATGATTCGCTTATCAATTGTTTCCTCCGTGTAAACTAGATCACAGCCAAGATCACGACTGAGGAGACGCAATGGGAGGGTGCTCGCACGCACCATGGGGGCCAATATCGTCGTCGCATCACGGTAGACGGGATGCAAAATATTGTTCGTCCTCGATGTGGAAGATGCGGATTCTTGTCCTGTTCCTGGAGGTCCTTCCGATTCCAACATATCGTTTGTCGCTTTTTCATCCATGTTGTCCGCCACGCATTGGGGCTTGGTGTTGGTGCCCACGTCAGCGTGTGAGGACGTCGCATCTAAGGTCGTTGCCGTGTCGCTCATTGTTGCAGGGGTGCTTGTAGGAATAAATGGTGATGGACTTCTTCTGTTCCTCTAGTGATTACATCTTCTCATGGTCGTGCAACAACGAATGCAGTCCTGTTTCTAGAAGTCCTGTTTGTAGAAGTCCAGGAGGAAGTCGTGATCATCTTCATTTCCTGTTACTTTTTTATATTCTACTCCGTCACTTCTTCATCTCCTTCTCCCGACGTATGCGCCAAAACCAGCGATCTCGTGAAACAGGACAAGGAAGAGTAAAAGAATACATGAGAAACGAGAAAGATGGCGAAGCTGTGCTAAGATGAAAAGGCAAAGCCTTATGAATGCCAAACAACGAGGGCTACTCTACAAAAACGGGTTTGCTGCGGGAGGTAGCTGTGTAACTAGTTTATTTTGATAGTGATCAGGACCTTCGTTCACTACAACTACACTTTTACACCTTCTCTCAGCTGCGCATGTATCTCGTATTGCAAAGGTAATATCATCTACTCGTCCTCTAACCGAAACATGTTACGAGTCCTCGATTTATGAACAGCTGGGAAGTCCGCTACGAAGTCCTTCTTGTGCTCTTAAAAAGCGCAGGTACATGTTTATTGTTCTCCAGAAATCATCACAACGTCAACCAACCGGGAGAAAGTTCAGTCGTTTTTTGTCAGGATCTTACTTTTTTGTTGTAAGAGGAAAGTTTGGGCTTTAGTGCGACTGTCCTACTAAGATTCGAGTCTGCCTCTGGCTTGAGCGCTAGCCTAAACCTCAGCCAATGATAAATGTATTTTTTTTATCACCTAGCTAAGACCTACCGATATGCGCCAGAGTTGTAGTTATTCATGTCTTGATCCCGTAGACTTTACACGAACACCGAGACGGTTTCGACAGACATCGCTTTTTGCAATGCTACCGCCGAGGACTCGATAGACATGTGCGATTACTTTCGGCATCCACCGTCGGGGTGTGGAAGTCTAAAAATCGTGATAATGTCAGCTGCTTCTTTTTCTTGTGTTTAATCATCGTCGGAACATCAATGATACAAAGCACGCAAATCTTCAGGTTTGTTGGTGCTGTAGTTCGCAGAATCATCTGTAGTGTCAACAATTCATTCGCCACACCTGCACATCGCAAAATCGTAGGCGTGTACAAGGTCGACCGCATTGGTCATCATCTAGATGATGATCGATTGATTATTAAATCCTTCTAGAAATATAAGTTTGGCTACCTATGCTTACCTTCATGGATCGTCGTTCCCCCTCCACCAGAACTCAACAAGTACCTTCCGAAACTCTTTCACATCGCTCGTGCGCAGTGGCGCTCCCTTTGCTGTGCCACATTTCACAAGGAGACGATTGTCATCAGGGTTTTTGAAAACAGCGCTCGCGAAAAACTCCTTTTTAAACACGTGGGTTTGCAGCCACGGAGTCAGCTGGTCTTGGCTCCCGCCAAAACCTTCACTGAAGGGATCGCGCAATACCGCCACGGTACACGGATCCGTATTCAAATGAAGGAATCCGGTGCAGCGGCCGATCGATATTATTGTGATTGCGCGCTCGCCTGTCCGAATCTGCTGTTGAAACGTGATGCTGTCCTGCCCGACCTCACTTTTCATGTTATTCTCATTCACTCTGTCGAAGCACGCATTCCACTCGTAGGACTCTGTAATACGGGTATTCGTCAGATCTGTTTTGAAGGCCGCTGAGACGTCGTACTCATGGTAGCACATCGCCTTGAAAAGACCGACGTCATTGAGCAACTCGATCTGTCGGTCCCACTCGCGCATCCAATCCGCTCCCTTCGAAGAACCGTCAATGGCGATGCGGTAGTAACTGCGCCAAGGCCGCGCATGTGAGAGCATGGCGTTTGGGATTTTCACGTACTGGACAGTTTTGGACAGTGCACCATCTGCTACCTTGCCGTTCCCGTTGCTGTCTATTTGCTGAAATGGGTAGGCCCAGTCGACGTGCCTGTCGAATTTCACGCTCCAGGCAAGTGGCACAATACGTATCGCCGCATCGCTGTGCGGGAAGTAGAGGTCCGCGCTTGGATAGAACTTAGCGCCGTTTACAGCCTGAAGAATTAGGAAGGACAACGAGTTTTTCAGGAGTTTCAGAAAGATATGAATATGATCAAACTGATCTTTTATTCATGAACATGAAGTACTGAGTTGTATATTTGTGGCACCCAAAACGGAACTCTATGTTCAGGCAGGTAATTATGAAGACTCAAAATTTCGCTTATCTTCCAACTACTCTAGCTTGTGAAAAATTTGAGAAATGGTTCTCCAGCTCAGAGGTTACGCTCATATATTATAAGATACCTGTAGTCCGTATATGCCCGCATCAAAGCCAACACGTAAGTTAGCGTATGTGCTTTGCAGTTCCCCCATGCCGTTCACAAGCTTCCGTAGGCTTTCTTCCAAATTCTGCATCCGCTCTTCAATATCTGCGTGCGACGCAGCGTTTGCTTCTTGCACTTTTCTCAGGTTTTCAATCTGTCCTTCTGCCTCTCTTGCCAAATTGTGCTGTGTTCCAAGAGAGGCAACGTATTCTTGCTGGAGGTCTTGCAGTTTCGTGCTCAGCTCTGGGGTTACGGGTAAAGTGCCTGCAACCAGCGCAGCCTGTCATGTCATGTCATGGAACCTCGTTTGTAGTTACACGTGACTACCGATGAGGTCAGCCAGCAAAAGAGTAGCTCCTAGAGGAGCGCTAATGAATGAAAGACAACGACAAGAAATACTACTTAACAAACATGCGAAACTGTTGGAACACCCGAACACGTCCAAGCGCACTACGAGGCTCTTGAGAGCAAACGAAATGACTATCGTTGCAATGTAACAGAAAGACGACCAGAACGGACGCGCCGAGTGATCACTGACTGTCTAAGGCCCTGAAATGGTATCAAAATGGGTCCCATGTCATTGGGATGCCATGAAGTGTCATAGTGCAGTTAGAGACCTGGGAGATCTTGCTGCTCATTCATGTTGGAACTCATTGAGTTCATCTGATGATCACACGAGGAGCCAACACGAGCTCAAGACAAGGAACGGCATTGATCAGGATCAAGGTGACGAGTGAGAGCAGTCATCTGGCGTCGAAATCAGGTCCATTCATTGGATCTTGAGCCAGTAATGACCGTTGACCAACACCCCTCCTCAGTCGCTAGGTGAAGAAATGACGGAAGTCAGGAGCGGTCTAGTGTTGCCTGCTCTGACCCAGAACCTTCACTATTCGTTGTATAGCCACTGACATAACCTTTGGCCAACGATCTAACACCCTAACTAAGAAGATAGAGTAGGTAACTAAGCACCGCCAGAGAAGCAGAACTTGAACCAGCCTCATCATCCTCTTCTTCCGAGTCGCTACCATCTTCAACATGGTTACGGCTAATTACTGGATTCTCTATGTGATGTAGTAGTAATCTGCGTTGGTCTTGATTGGATGAGCATGAAAGTTTCGCTAGTCCATCAGCTTTCATCATAAGGCGAGTAAGACAGAAAGCAACTTTCTCAGCTGCGTCTCTAACTCTTAAATAACGCAACGCATAGTGTCTACTTTTAGGCTTCACGTCTTCACTCTTTGCCGTCGAGGTTGCAGACTGGTCGCCGATCCACAAGATGGCGATATACCAAGCCGCGTTTCCACTAGTTGAGTGGGTAAGGGATTGAAGAAATCTGTAAAATCATGCAGCTCGCTCATGGCAATAGTGTCCGACGCGGCTATATACTCTGACTCTGCAGCTGAATACGCACGCACGGTTTGGGTATTGCGTTTCCAACAGATTGGAAAACCCCGATAGTACATAATCGAACCACTGGTCGAGCATATGCTCTTTATGCAGTTTGCGAATCCTGCATCTGAGGGCCAGTTAGTACGCGGTAGCTCTCTTCCTTCTGCTCTGGTCGGAGCTTCTTGTGGATTTCGTTGAATTCCTCCTCACTTTCTGGAGAGTAATAGAGTCCTTGGCCTTTTGTCGTAGCTAGATACTTTAATACTTTTCATTCTACAGGCTTTCGCAATTCTTTCAGTAACGGGCTCACTGACGTACCGAGCCAATGTCGCCACAGGGACGCAAATATCTGGCCTTGCGGTTGTCGATATCCAAAGCAGTGCGCCAACAATCTCACGCAATGGAAACCCTGCTGCGAGCTTAAGCCCCTCCTCAAGCAAAGCAGACGCGTCGAAATTTGGAGACCACACCGGCTTGCCTAGTGTTATTTTATACTTCTGCAAAGTCTTCTCTATGTACACACTCATCAGGGTTTTCGCTGAACGTGCTTCCCGACAATGAATAGTGCACGATCGCACCAAGAAAGTCGAACTCTAGCCATTCGAAACCCATGTGGGAATCGACTCGCTTTGTCATCTCAATAGGTCGGCCGGGGGCGCGACTAAAGACCCGGCCGAGCTCAGGCAGGCCGTACCTCTTGATAGTCAGGTCCAGTAGCTAAGTTATCATCAACATAGACTGACGCCTTCATATACTTTCCTGGGTGCGTTTTGCTCTTTTTCCGCCACAATCCTGGAGCAGAAGAGCACGGCTCCCATCCGAGAAGTTCGGACAATAGCACGCAGTACTTCTTGAACCAGGCTCGTGGAGCGTCCTTGAGCCCATATAGAGCTTTCTTAAGCTTGACGATATCCGCTCCATGCTTCTCCGCCCACACTGGTGGAAGACGGCAGAAGACTTCGCGATCGAGTTCAGCATTAAGGAACGCAGAATCAAGGTCGAAGGGGTGACGAAGTCAGATACCGCCGCCGCTGAGACAAGTAAAAGTCTATTCGCAGCGTGTGACACTACAGGAGCGTAGGTGTCGACATTCCCCGAACGATCAAGATTCCCGAGCACACAGGCGCGAGCTTTGAATGTTCCACCACGTTTGACCGTGAGAACGATTGCTATAGGCATTACCTGAGAAGAGTTTCGCAGCTCCTCGTCAGTAGCTGGCGCCCAAGTCTCAAAGGCAAGTAATCTAGCTTCCTCCTTGGTGATAGCTGCACGCCATTTTTCGGCGTCAGGGCTTTTCAAGGCTTGGGAAACTGACAGCATGACACGCGCTTCGAGAAAGGTTCCCCCTTCTTCCAGCTCATGCCCGCCTGCTAGCATGGCAAATTTATGCATATCTTTTCTCAATGCTTCTAGCTCGGCTTTTGTTATTCTCTTGCGTTGTCCTGGATTCTTATCCTTGCTCCCTTTAGGTCTTCCTCGGCCTTTCTTCCCCTCCTCAACTTTGCCTGGCTGAGATGGTGGAATGGGTAAGGGCCTCGGATCCCTTGCTTCAGGATTAGAGTCAGGCGACACACGCTCCGATGAGCTATTCCCCTCCTCAACGCGTTGCGTGTCAGAGTTGGAGTCGTCGCCGGTCTTTGGATCTTCTATTTTGTCCAAAGATTCAGAGAAAAACTCAGCAACTTCATTTTATCTGATATCATTTCCATGCCGGTTGGATCGCCTGAGCTGTACTCCGTGCCAGAGAAGCGCGGCTGACAGGCCATACGTTGCAGCGCATGTCTGTGCAGGACGGGACCCAGCGACGGCGTGCCAGACTGCAGGTCTTCCAGCGGGTCACAATCAACATAAATGCCCTTCGACGTAGGCAATAGCCAATCAATGTTCTTGACTAATATCGACTCTCGAAATTTCACATCTAGCGTGGAATACTCGCTCCACTCGAAGCCCACTCCCGCTCTCCCATCGTTGTGATATGTACCTACTAGCCAACCAGGCGAGACTGGACACAGACCGAGAACCACACCACGCCGATAAGGTGGCGCAAGCTTTGCCTCTTTCTTGTTGGTGGTGTCTACGACCTTTTCACGAAAGTACACCAGACAGCCAAATCTTCTTAACATACCTAGACCACTTTTCGAGGACTTCGCTCTTTCCTATCCTCTTCTCTAGTATCTCGACCGGACTCATTCCATCACATCCTGGCACTTTTGCATAACGATGCGGTAAGCGATTCCAACAATCTCCGGCATACTGTAGGCAGTAACACCAAAGAGAAAGACGTCGGTCGACTTTGACCAACATGGTACGCACAGCACCGAAAATGGTCCGCGTGAAACGTTCGCAAGTTCCGTTCATTTCTGGGCTGTAAGGAACTCCAGGAATTTCCGAAACCAGTAGCGACTCCATGACTTTGGTCATATGGTCACCACTCAGGACGGGCTCGCTATCTCTACGGATGGACCACGCCGCCTTGTCGTCGAGTGACAGTGAGTAGTCCTGGCGAATGCCTTTTATTACTTCTTCAATCACCTCAACGCAGTCCGACTTAAGGCAGAGAGGACGAACGAAACTCATTTCAATCGAATCGCAAATAATGACTAAAGCGCGTCTTTTGCTTCTTATAGATACTGGTCTAATACCAACTGCGAAATCAATTGCAAGGGTTTCCAATGGAGAAGGTACATGCCCAGCGGGCCTCACTTTTGCATGAGCGCGCCTTTGACCTTTGGCCCGATCGCATTCTGGACAAGATACACTAAGGCCATCAGCGTGAAAGTGGCCAAGTCTACGACGTATGTCTAATCTTGAGGCTTGTGAATGAAGTCTAGCTTCTTCTATTCTAGTGCATACTATATCCTCCTCAGTTTCATTTTCTTCTTTGCTAAACATGTCACAGACAACCTAGAGTAGGTAGCTGCATCTGGGGGCAATTTGTTATGGGTAGAGAGCGGCCGGAGCGGGTATTGTACAGCGTTCCGCCGCTTTCTGTGAAGTTCATCTGCCAACCCTTCCCATGGCAGTTTCCTTCACCTAGCCATGGTATAACGCGACCTATGGCTTTTATTGAGTGTTCAAAGTGTACGCCATATTTTAGTCCTAATCTGTTCTCTTTTAGTCTGCCTAAGTTCCCACTTCGCTTTCCAGCGGTGCCGCTAATGTGACAAAGCCGGTAGCTAAGTAATCTTCTTAAAATCGGAACGATGGCGAGACAAATATTTACTCGCACAACTGTCAACAAGTGAAACTGTTTTGCTATTGCCTCTTTTATTTGCGCTAAGATAGCAACCTGAGCGACTATCAACCATATAGCTTTCACCCCTAAACAGTTCACTTCTATATTCTTTATTCTCAAAGTTTTCTTCAAAGTTCAGCGAACGCCTTCCATTCTCATCTTCGAAAGCTTCTTCAAGTTCTTCGTCATCTTGGGACTGTCCATCTCGTTTCCAATATCCATTCCATTTCAGATCGGTTTCGACTCAGCGTTGTGGTTGTTGCCCACCCCATTGCTGCGGTGGGTTACTGTTGTCGAATCCTTTTCCTCCACTTGGTTGCGATGGATAGCTGTTCTGGTGCCACGGAGGGATAGCGTTACCTTGCGGCCAGCAGTTGCCTGAATTGTTGAAGAAGTTGCTGCCCATGGCTTTGCTAGGTTGGTCGCTTTGACTCATCGGGTTTAGCCAGCATTTGCGCGCCTTATGTCCATACTTGTGACAATAGTTGCACTGGATACCCTCATTAGGATCTGAGTTCTTAGCGCCTTTACCTTTACCACTTCCTTTGTTCTTCTTACTACTAGAACTACTACTACTACTCTTTCCGCTTCCTTTCGTTGCGTAGACCTCGTTCCTGATTTCTTTGCGGATTTTCTTGCGAAGTCGTTTGGTCGTTGTTTTCTTGAGAGCGGCAAACGCTTTACCGTCGTCATCACTCTCATCCTGACGCTTGCGCTTCTTGGTTTTGGTATTGTTCTGGTTTTCATCATCGGAATCTTCGACAGCCGGCAAAGCTTTGCCGAAAGATGGACTCTCGATCTTGTACTCACCAGAGTCCGTCAAGCTTTGAAGTCGTTTCGTGAGTCTTGCACCGATTTGGACGAGCGTTAGAATCTAACGGTTAGACGTTCTTCTTCTTGCATCCTCTCGATTGTCTGTCGAAATGCTTTGGAAAACATTTTAGGCAGAATGTCGAGGATTGCTCCGCTTTGTTGATCAGCAATAGCCACACCAACTTCCGGCGGATAGACGGTCGGAGATTGGCACGCCCAATTTTGACGAAACAACTTTCTTGAAGACGGGACCAAGATAGTTGACGGGTATCCCTTTCGTGAGGTAGTTGGTGCCTTACTATGGGTAGCTGTAACCGCGCGCCCGGATATCTCTGCTCCGGTAGCAGCGTTGGCTAGACATGTCAGTAAACCCACGCCAACAAGAATGGCCAAAGCAGCCAAGAAAGTCCTAAAATGCCTGGCGTCAACAAAAGACAAAGGAGTAGAATACTCACCAGAAAAGGAAGAAGAATTCAACAAAATATACGAGAAACTTCTACCAGAAGGCAGAGACATGCCAGAAGTAAATATATTCAGTGATGCTGGTTTCGCCAACTGCATCAAAACAATGAGAAGCACAAGTGGCTCCATAATGTATTACAAAGGTACACCCATAGCGTGGAGGAGTAACCGACAAACAGTCAGAGCCTACTCAACGGCTGAAAGTGAGTACATTGCAGCTTCTGACACGATAGTGCTCAGTGAGATGCATGACTTCGCAGACTTCTATAAGCCTCTTCCAACCCAGTTGGTACACACACAGAACGGCTTGTCTCCCTCCTTAGACAATGCTGCATTGTGGATAGACAACCAGTCTGCGATCACAACAGCCAAAGCAACAGACGCTCGCCCTAAAAGTAGACACTATGCTTTACGTTATCTAAGAGTGCGCGACGCTGCTAGTAAGATCGTGCGCTGTCCTACCAACCTGATGAAGGCAGACCCACTTTCGGAACTAACCTGCAGCGCCACTCAGCGTAGACTTATCTTACACCACGTAGCTAACCCGATAACTACAAGCAAAGACGATGACTGTGATCCCTCTGATGACGAAACAGATGAGGATGACTTAGCTTACTATAGCGTAATATATTCGGTTTATTTTGGTTTCTAAACCACCGTAGCCAGGTCACATACACTAAACAAGAGACGCGATTGCCGTGACTCAACACACAGCGAGGCGGTCACGTGAGACGGACTTCGACCCGCATCGATTGAGGAGGGGCGTTGGTCATGTATGGCCCAAGCCTCTCGGATGTCGTGGCGTTCTGTTCTCAGTGGCTCACGCAAAACCTCGCGCTCGACTGTCATACATCGGGATGATCTCGCATGGTATGAATGTCAATGATCGCGAAGGCTACTTCCAATGCACACGCAATGCGCATTCAATGCATAACCATAATGATCAAGGTGTAGACTAGGCACGGCTGTACTGATCCTAGTCAATGACGCACGCTCAGTCCGATCCCTTCTGACATGCTTACGCGTTGATGTATGATCCATCTCACCCAATGAACCGAACAGGGACTACACCAGCCAGAGATCGCAAGTCTCAGGCAGGAGTGTCAAGATTTGCCTGCATTCAAGATTCTGGCTTTGTGTTTCCACTGAGAAACGAACCAAGGCACGGAGGCCTGTGTTCTTGTGGTCCAACAAAACAACTTTCTTCAGAGTTTGTAACAAACTCGCAAACTTGAATACAAATTTCACAAACGCTAAAACTTATAATAATGCGCCAACTTTCCCACTTTCCTATACTATTGACGTGAGATTCAAAAGCAGAAGCTTCCCTATGTTCTAAGCTTTCAAGTCCGCAAGTTCCGACTCATGCACCATAGATACCAACACAAAGGCAGGCTTGAACGTACAGGAGCAACACACTTCCACTTTAGAACTCCAGTCGCCTCTAAAAGCGCGAGCTGGTCTAAACCAAGCGAGGTCCACCACCATGCCTGTAACTTATTTAAATTTCAACAATCAAATCACTCTTGACCAGTAAGGATATCAGAGCGCTTACCTTTCAACAAGCAAACTCCGCGAACTTCGATCGGATCGCTTTCCGATAGAAGGAATTCTTCGCATTCAAAATTATCAACCAAAATACTAAGCACATTCTCTTTAGTAGGAAGGTCCGCAGGATTGTGCTCACTCGGTACCCTTCCAAGATCTGGCGACACATTACAAGCGCCGGCTTTCAGCCAAAATTCATACGCAACAAAGGCCATGGAAATTTTTCCACTATTCATCCTGTACAAGTTCCCTTCTGCTGCAACATTATCGAGCAAGCGAAGAGCCTTCGCGTTCGAGATCAAACCTCTCCAAACCAACAAAGAAGCAAGCGGAGCTATGCCCTCTAGAAAATTGATCGGGAATGACGAGAACGATTCACGCAATTCATTTTTCTTAAGCCTCAATCTCCAAAATTTTATCTTACCAGTACGTAGAGTTTGCGGATGGCGAAACTGAGAAAAGCTCGACCAACACGCCAGCAATCATCCCTGAACCTTTCCTCCGCGACGCATCTGTATACAATACAAACCGGAGAGGTTGCGTTGATAAAATCCGCGGAGGGAGGGAATTCAGCACTTCTATACAAGCTCGAAGGCTGAGCGTCAGGCATTTTGTCAACGAACAGTCGCTATGTAATTGGAGCACTCTACTCATAATGGGCCCCAACAACGGACGCAATTCCCTTTCCGCGACCGCGCAGAAAACAAGTGACGTCTTCCCATAGATCTGCGCAGCCTCGAGAGGAGAAAAGGCGTCTTTTTTTGCATGCTTTCCTAACAAACCAACATACTGAGACGCGCGCACTGGCGAGATACTGACTGACGGCCGACCGACCAAATTAAAAATCAACCCCAAAAGAGTCACGCTTGAGCCTTTTTCTGCCTTATATGACCAACCTAATCTATCCAAAAGCAAACACGCCGCACTAGCGGCTTCAACCCCAAGGCCAGACTTTGCAAACGAGTGGCAATCATCAATGAAAACCGAAATCGGAATTTTGAGCAAATGCCTAACACAGTTTGCAATTAAGTTCACCACTCTTACCCAAACTATGACGCTATGCGTATTCCCAAAAGCCAACGCCTTTGCTCTAAAAGCGAACCACTTCGCACGCCGCAACCGGCGAGAAAACTGCTACGAAATTCGCACGCTGTTGATGTGGAACAATTCCAATGGTTTTGTCCGCTCCTTCTATGTCAATTGCTAGCCCGTCAATGTTAAGACCCTTCGCTTCAACTAAGCTGTCCGGGTCGAAACCTGACAGCAGCACTTTATTCAATTCTGCCGCAACTTCTGCAGACACGCGCGCCCCTTCTTTGTTCCTCTTACGCGAGTACAACAAGAAAGAGCCCAAAAGATGAGTAGAAGCGCCGCTATCGGCCTGAAGCCTCGCAGTGGCTGTAGCTAATGCTAAGGCGAGAGCCTGCGTAGGAGATGGAAGAGGTACAACTTTCTTCAAATCACGCTCCCAATATAAAGCGCGCGCATCATCTATCACGCGACGCTTCCCCCGTTGCTCGACAGCAAACCGCGGGAGTAAGAGTCGCGCATTATCATCAAGAGAGTCCAGCTCAGTCGGTCCCTCAAGAAAGCCAGGAGAAGTTTCTGCAACGGAAGTCGTCCAGATCTTAGCAGCTAGCTCCTCCCCTAAATGAGCGGGGGGGCCGCGCTTCATGAAAGTATCTACCCTACACCGACGAGCGATCTTGTCAGTGGAGTCGTCTATTGGCTTGGCCCTCCTTTCCTCCCAATGGGGAGGACACCACACAGCGCCCTCGCAAGTGCCGCCTTGAACTTGAAGCACAAGACGCCACGCTTCCGGGTCTTCAGCATGATGCAACTCGTTTAAGCGTCGAAGTAAGCACACGCTCTAGATCCTATTGCCCTCGAATTTTCACGCGAAAAACAACGATGACCATTTTCATCCAAAGCGGGACAGAAGGACTGCGCCTCCAATTCATCCAACAACGCCAAACCTTCGAGAATTGAGTTTTTAGAAGGCAACGACTTCGCCACTAAAGTGAAGCGCTCAGGATCGATAACAAGAGCAGGAACTGGGCTCGAAGCTGCCTGAATGTCGGCGAAGATTCTGTCGAGATACTCGACTGCATCGCGAGTCTTCCGCTTCTCTGCGGCCCGGGCGGCCTTGCGCTCAGCCTTCGTGGCCATGTTGGTCACAACAGTTAACAACAAGTAGAAGAAAAAGGGTCCCAACCAATTGGCAATTTCACTAAAACTACTGGGCTACTCCAGGAATCGCTAAGAACTGCAGCCCTTTTTTCGTTGAACTTTCGCAACTCTGACGAACTATTCAATTTTCATAAAACCACAAATCAAATGCCCAATTTTCCAATTCTAACATTTGCTCTCAGCAGCACTCTGGCAGCCACTCTCAAGTAAGAATCTGGGGAGGCATCACTCCCGCCTTAAGCATTGTTTCCAACAAACAACTTTCGAGAGAAAACCTTTGAACGACGGGAGACGATCCACCCCAGAAAGTGACTGCCAGAAACGAGGGCAAGCTTTTGCCTAAGCGCCAGCCTAACGAGCCACGATTCTAGAACCTCAAACCAGGATGGGTGGGTTGGGAAAAAAAAGTTTTCCAAACACCCGAAACAACAACGCGCAAAGACGTATAGAAAACAAGGAAGAAAAAGAGAAGAGAGCTCTAGCTGGGTCTTTACACTCTGGGCCCAAACTAGACCCTTACTCTTTATGATTTCGAGTCTCAAGGTTTTCGCTCGTTCTTCCTCTCTGCAGTGAGCGCCCGTTTAAGCTAGCTCAAGCGGCCCACTCGCGCTGAGATACCGAACTACCTTTAGCAAAAAAAAGGAAGTAAAAAGATTAAATTACGAGGCGGGGAAAGGGGCAAGGACCTTATGCGCTGCGCTTCGTCGCCAGTGACAGAATTATAGCGCCAATCAATTTTTCAACTTTTATCCAAAAGGAAAATGCCTCATAGCATTGGACACACTGGCCATCGCCCCGCGCCTAGGAAGGCAAGCAAGCAGACGACGACGGCTAACAGTGGCCAAGCGGAAGGCAAAACAAAAGAAAAACATGAGGAAAAGGCTAAAACGAGCAGAAGCGCGAAACAAGACGAGGGCACAAATAAAAAGGAGAAAGCACCGTCAAGAGAACTCAGTAAAGGAAGGAAACGGGTTTCGGGCACTACAGCCTGAAAACAAAACAAAGAACCAAATGACTTTACGACAACGAAATGGTCAAACAAGTAACAATGGGAACAGTCAAATAGTGTCCGAGGACAAGAAGCAACGCAAAGCGCGAGAAAGCCGAAAGCATGGCTTTAAGAAAAGCAAGGGATCGCCGAGGGATCACGCACGGGTCTCCAAACACCCGAAGCAACAACGTACAGAGACGTATAGAAAACAAGGAAGAAAAAGAGCAGAGAGCTCTAGGTAGCTGGGTCTTTACACTCTGGGCCCAGGCTAGATCCTTACTCTTTATCTATGGTCTCGAGTCTCAAGGTTTTCGCTCGTTCTTTCTCTCTGCAGTGGGCGCCCGTTTAAGGTTAAGCTAGCCCAAGCGGCCTACTCAGTCTTGAGCTCATCGAGATCAGGACCCGTCGCGAGATTGTCTCCCACATGGACTGACATCCGATCCTGAGGGACTTCCCAGGTGCTTTCTTACTCGGTCTTCTCCATAAGCCTGGCGCAGAATCACACGGCTCCCAGCCAGGCTCGGCTAATATGTCGTGAAATTTCTTGAACCATGCTCCTCGTGGTGCGTCCTTCTTCAAGCCGTAGAGGGCTTTCTCGAGCTTCACGATCTCACGCCGGCCCATTCTTCTCCGCCCAGATCCAGATGGTTGGGAGACGACAGAAGGCATCGCGATCGCGTTCAGCATTGAGGGACGCAGAATCTAAACCGAACGGGACCAAATAGTCCTGCCCTGACCGACGCAGCAGAAGTCAGGGGCAACCTATTTGCGGCATGTGAAACGACGGGGGCCAAGGCGTTTAGCTCTCCTGATCGGTCTAGATTACCGAGGACACAGGCGCGAGCCTTGTATCTTCCACGTCTTTTTATAGTTAGAATTAGGGCAATTGGTAGAGCCTGTCGCGCGGTCGCAGGCTCCTCGCTGCCTGCCTTGTCCTTGGCTCCTTTTGGGCGGCCACGCTTCTTCTCTTGGCGTGTGTACTATGGCGCTCGCCTGCCACAGCACGCGCTGGAGAAGGCGCTTTTGACCTAGACAGACTAAGCGGCGCAGATGCCTCACGATCCTTCGCTTCAGCTTTCCCCTCCTCAGGTGTGACCCTTATAGGAGAGTCAGCCGCGTCAGATTCCTCTTCTTTATCCATTGTCTCAGTAGGCAACTCTTCGGGAATTCCGGCCGGTCCACCTGGAGCGCGCTCCGTGTCAGAGAACCCCGATTGATGGCCCAGCCTTTCCTTAGCTTTGACTGCCCAAGCAAGGGGGAGCCCAGCGACGGCGCTCCACTCTGCAGATTTTCCAGTTCGTCACACTCTACGTAGATGCCCTTCTTATCTGGCAAAAGCCGACCGATATTCTTTATTAGGTAGTCCTCTCTGAACTTTACATCTCGGGCAGAGTATAGCACTCCGCCCATCGATGTCCAAGCTTGCGACGATCGTCATGGGCGAAAGTTCCAACCAACCAACCAACCAGACGACTTCAGACAGAGTCCAAGGAAGACGCCACGGCGGTATCTGGCCGGGAGCTTGGGTTCAGGAGTGTTGGCTTGAACTTGTTCACGAAAGTAAACTAGGCAACCGAATCGGCGGAGCATGCCGATTCCACTCTTCGGCGAGTTTCTGCCAGTTCTTTCCTCCAAGATTTCAGCGGGGCTCCTCCCATCATGTTGAGGCATTTCCGCGTAGTTATGCGGTAAGCGATCCCAGCAGTCACCCGCGTACTCGACGCAGTAACGCCAGGGATGAGACGTTTGCCAACTTTAGTCAGCATTGTGCGAACCAACACTGCCAAACAAAGTCCGCGCAAAACGTTCGCAGGCCCCATCCATTTCCAGACTATAAGGAACAGCCGGACTGTCTGAGACTCGCAGCGATTGCATGACCTTGGCCATGTCATCACTGCCCAAGACAGGTTCTCCATCCCTCCGGAGGAACCGCGCTACCTTGTAGCCAAGGGATAAGGAGTAGTCCTGGCGATTGCCTTTGGTCACTTCTTCTACTTCCTCCACGCAGTCACTTTTCAGCTTAAGCAGTCGACAGAGCACCTTCTTAATTGCGTCACAGATAATCACTAACGCGCATCGCTTCGATCTAACTGATACGGGTTGGATTCCAGCAGCAAAGTCGGCGGCCAATAACTTCAGCGGTTCAGGTGTGTGCTTTGCAGTGTCTCTAGCTTTTGCATGTGGTGCGCGTTGGCCTTTATGTAGATCACACGCAGGACAATTTACCTGGAGGCCATCTATATGAAAGCGCCCGCGCCTTCTATGAAGTTCGATTCTTGTAAGATAACAGCTACTGGCCCCCTCCTCTAGTACTGTTGAACAAATATACTATAACCACTATCCGTCTCTTCTTTAAATAAGTCCGCCGCGTGCAAGTATGGGAAGGCGCAGGCGTGGGTGACTTCTTACGGGTATGGCCTGGCCGGTGTCTGTGTGCACGAGACAACCGCCAACGCCTTTGAAGTTGAATCCCCGCCCTAATTGCGAGCAGTTCCCTTCACCTAGCCAAGGTCTAGCGCGATCTAAATCCTTTGGCAGTGGCACCATACTGGGGCCCTAAGATGTTTGCTCTCAATTTTCCTCCTTTTCCATCTTTACCCCCAGCGCTACCAGTAAGCCTACGGATTCTCATAGTCATATACATTAACAGAGTCGCGCCTGTGTCTTCAAAGATATTTGCTCGCACAACTATCCACCAAACCCACCCCACCCCTTACAGCAATGGAACTAGTTGCAAGACTATGCCCCATCAAATTCATTCCCCCAACATTGTCTACATCTAGCTCATCTTCACCCCCATCCTCGTCCAAATTCAGCAAGCAAAATCCAATCTCCACTGGTTCCGCGTCTCGGCTCTGCTTGGCGGCAGTGAGAGCTTGGAACAGCTCCGCAATTTGAGACATGTGAACCACGCCGCTACCCTTTCCACCTTTACCCTTACCACTACTAGACTGGGCACTGGTGTTCCACTTCCAGTTTTCCTGGTTCTGTGGATTCTTCCAACAAGACGCGGACCTGTGGCCCGGCTTGTTGCAGATCCAACAGACTGGACGGGTGTCCTGTTTTCCAGATCCAGGACCTTTATTACTTGTGTTCTGCGGCTTTCCTTTGCCGTTCTTTCCACCACCACTGCCATGGCTTTGGTTGCCGTTGGAGTTGGAGGCATAGACCTCGGCGGCGATCTTTTTCCTTGTGTTTGTCTTGAAGCGCTTGAGGGCACTTTTAGACAGAGAGATCTTACCACCTTCCTCGGCCTTTTCCTCGTCGTCCTCTTCTCCCCGAGGACGTTTGCTCCGGGTTTCCTGAACATTGACCGGGAACGCCTTCCCGAAGGAATCGCTCTCAGCCTTGTAGGCTCCCTCCTCGATCAACGTCGCAAGACGCTTCTCAAGTCGGTCACCGATCTGGTCAAAAGTCAGGCCATCCTCTTCCTGCATGCGTTCAGTCGTTGCCTTGAAGTTCTTGCAGAACAACGCAGGCAACTTCTGCAGCAGTGCACCACTCTGCTGGTCACTTTCTGGCGCTCCTGCCTCCGGCGGGTACACGGTGGGCGACTGGTTCACGATGTCCCGGACTTTCGACGAGAATTGGCGAGCGGATGCCTTTTGGATTTTATGGGTTATAGTTCCCCTATATTTTCTCTATAAAATGCAGAGCGAGGCCATCAGTACTGGGGTGGTGAGCCTGACACCCCGCAGGTCGGTTTCCTTCCCACGCCCGAAAATGCCGAACGCCCTTGGCTTTGTTCACTTGCTAGGTGAAAACCATCCCACCCATTGCAGCCCCTTCGTTGGAGACCACCGCGCCCGAAAATCACCGGCGGCGGAAAATCTTGGCGAAAAGTTGCCGAGGCTCACGCGCGCGGCCCTTGTCCTTGTCTCATTAAAACGAAGCCAAGAGGAGCTCCGAAAACGAAACCGACACAACGCAACCCACACACAGACAAGCCAACCACTACGCCGAGAGCATCACAAGCCGGCGAACCAGTCCGCGGCGCAGCCTCACGCCAAGTTCTCAAACGAATGCACAACGCCAGGCGCCTCCCAAGCCTGGAGAGAAGAACAGAGAAACCACAAAAACCACAGACAACAAGCGCGGAGCCTTATGCGGTTTCGTTGCAAGCTGTTGCAGGTTTGTTCCCGGCGATCCATTGCGTTTCCATGTCTTCACCAGGAAAACACGGAAGACGAAAACTGCAAAATCTTCGCGGAATGTTTGCGGAAAGTTTACAACAAGTTTTGACAATGTTGGAACTTCATGCGCTTATCTTTTCGGAAAGATTCCGCAAAGATTTCTTGGAAAGATTTCGCAAACTTTTCGCCAAGATTTTTTTTTTTCATATAGAAAAAAAAAACGAAGAGCCAACCCAGGCGCCCAAGCGCAGAAAGATGGCCAACGCCGCCCCGCTTTGCCACTGCTTCCCCGCCTGCGTTTCCCCCGTCCTCCGCCCGGGTTCTCTACACCTCGAGGAGCTTGCACAGGCGTGCCGCGGCTGTATTCCAAGCAGCGCCGACGCCAATGACGTGCGGGCGGTCCGCACTCACCTGGCGCCGGGGCTGTCAACAACAGAGAAACACAACACAAAGACAAAGCATCCGAGGCCGCGCCGCCTTCTTTTCCATACTCGAAAAGACAGAGGCAACGAAGACCAACCCGGGCAACTTTTCGCGAAGATCTCGCGGCCATGTTTCGCATCGACGCGGTGGTCTCCAACCTTCGCCACCTCGTTGCCAAAGTCTCTCGCTGTCGAGTCGAGCCGGCCGAGGGCGGGCAGTTCTCTAGAGGTGCCGGCGGTTCTTAAGAGCCAAGGTGGCTACTTAGGTGCTACTTGACGATGGGCGCCAGCCTGGCAGCCTCGGCGAAGCTGCCGCTGAGGGTGTTCTCGGGTAGAATAAGCGCAGACACCGACGAAGAGGCTGGGGCCAGCAGCTATGGACACCAGGGCCCGAAATGTCGGAGGTGATGCACCCCATCCCACCGGGGGACCTGAATGGTGCTAGCGTGCGTCTGCGTGGATGTATCGGCCACCGTTTGCCTTGGGCTACACCACCATAAAGAGCCACATCTGTGCGCCTCAGGTTTGGTTGCTCCTCTTGCTTCACATGTTTGAGGGCATGAAAATGAGGACCAAAAACAAAGCTGCCACTTTTTGGCTCAGGTGGGCTCGGTATTTTTTGGCTTTATAAAATGTAGCATTTTTCGCGTAGCCCCACTAGTGGACCACGCGAATTCGGGCATTTTATAATGAAAACACAAAACAAAATATAAAAGCGCCTGAGGTTTATAATTTGTTTTTTTGGCACTCAAATCGAGGCCGCCCTAGGCTGATTCGCAGTGCGTTTCTGCGCACCTCTTCGCGAATCTGTAGGCGACACGCAAAAGCGGAAACGCGTGCACTTTTCACGCGAATAACCCGCAAAAAATGTAGGGGACACGCAACGAAGACACGCGCCGAAATGTAGTGGGCACGCACTGCAACACAGCAACAACATCGCACCAGGCCACGCCTCTTCTCCCCCGTGAATGTGTGCAATACGTTGGCCCTATTTCGGTCCCCGTGCGTGACTCGTTGTCGATCGCGGAGGGTGGAACCGAGGCCCCCCAAGGGCAAGGCAAGAAGTTGTCTCCCTCGACTGTTTTGGCGATGTCCTAACAGCCTCAGGCGTCACGATCGATTTTCATTTCCTACAGACACTGCTCCAAAAAAAAGCTGGCAGCTTTTTGGATAGCGTTTCGCTTTTCGTTTTTCATGCTCCAAGAAACCCACCCCGGCGAGCTTTTACTTATTGACAAGAAAAAAACTCCTCGACCCGCAGAATTTCCATCCAAGGAGAAGAACCCGCCGCATTTTATAGAGAAAAAGTAGAGAAATCATAGCGCCGAATTCTTAAAAGGTGCCCCCTCGCCAAGACGAGAACCCCTTGACATCTGCGGGCTGGTCTGTGTTGTGGAACTTTAGCAAACCATCTGCGAGCGGTTTTGCCTTCGTCCGTTCCCGTTGTCCCTGGCGGTTGTTCTGATCGAAGTGCCCTACATCACGCAAGAGCGCAACAACCTCACCCGAATCCACCGCATCCACCTGACCACTCTCGTTCTGGTTGTTTATGAACGACGCAGCGGCACCTTTCAGACTACGGATGGCCGCGCCTTTCAGGTCCCGCCAGTCAGACCTCTGTCCGAGTTTCTTCGAAATCTCTTTCGCATCGCAGGACATTTTTGAAAAGTTGTCGCTCGGCGGGTTTCTACTCTATACTAAGCGCAAAGGTCAAACTAGTGCGGGACCACACCACAAGAATACAGACCGCTGCGCCACGTGTAGTTTCTCGGTGAGAAGCGCTGAGCTTGATCTTGATGCAAAACCAATTGAACTCACAGCCTGAGGCTAATGATCTCTGGCTGGTTTGACTTTGATCCCTGTGGATATTCGTTGGGGTTGCATTGGGATATCAAGATGGGGGATGTTGCATGTGCTTCATATGGCGACGCTTCTTACTTATCGCCATTGCCTTCGCATGATCATCCTACGTCGGTGCCCATCTGGATCTGACTGACCTTAGATAGACGGACACGCATCAGATCACACCCTGCGAGACCTAGCAGGCACGAGAGTACCTGACGGCGGTCCTTTATGCGCATTGAACTGGTCAGAACTGACAAGGCGGCGCGCGCGCGGACCTGGTTACAGCTATGAACATTCGCTATCTCTGCGATCTGAATACGCTGAAGGCCCTTTGTCTGTTGGCCATTGATTTGGGAGCCATATGTTATGCGTTTAGGTCTGTCAGTGTCCTTGAGATCTTTCCGGTTCTGCTTTGTCCTTGACTGCTTTGAGAGACTTGAAACAACAAACGAGAGAGAGAAGGGAGAAACCGCCGACACCCGCGCCAACTAAGGCCAACGCGTTGAAAACGGCGCCGGTGGGCACCTTGTCCGCCTGGCGATCTTGGGCACTTCGTTGATCTTTATCCTTTGGATCTTGGTGGATCTTTGTGGCATTTCCAGGATTCAGATCATGACCAACATTGTCAAAGAACTCAAACACCTAATATATCTATAAATAAGTGCCTGGTAGTGTAGTATCTCCGAACTTTATAAGTGAGGCACCTCGCCGCTTGTGCCCGCCGCGTCCCGGTGTTCTGAGCGTTCACGTCGTCTGTCTGCCTCACCCTTATCTGCCTGCGCCTCACCCTTATCTGCCTGCTTTTTCAGGTTGTCGAAAAATTTTTCCAGATGGTCTCGCTGTTGTTTTTCTAATTCCTCCAGCTGCGCTCGGCTCCATGTAACAGTACCAGCAGCCGTCGTAAACTGAAGAATGAAAGACAAGAAGTGATGCTTCCAAGGAAGCTAGGTGGAGGTGTCGTTTTGTAAAGAGATTTATATATAATATTACATCTTTATCCGATATTATCGTTCGTCGCTGATGCTGCATGGTCGTCCAACAATACTCTGTCTCCGAAGTAGACAGTGATAAAAAATGGAGTGATTAGAGATACCCACGCGCATCCCTGGGAGTGGGGCCATCCCTGGATCCATTTCCCTCTTGAAATTGAGGCAGGGATGATGTTGAGGATGCTCGCTTGGTAGCCTTAAAGTGAGTTGCTCAACTTTCTGAGCCTTCATCTTTTTCGAGACAATAATTTCGAAACCCACACTTGTACTTGCGGGAGAACGAAGTTGTCTGGTTGTAGTTCTCTTTTCATACATACATTTTATCCCTATGTATATATCGTATACCTCTTCGCTGACCTGCTCCACAACCCCCGTCGAAAGAACAACAAAACTCGAAGCCTTGCGAGTGTCTTCGTCTTCCTCAATATCAATGTCGGTCAGCCCATCAGCATGAAGATTGTTTGGTGGTTCGCGCTCCCATGGAATATCTAATTTGAGAAGATTGAACACATGACATGAACATTACAATCGAGATCAGGGAGGTAGGCGTAGGTTCAGGAAAAAGTAGGAAACTTGATAGTTTATCACAGTGAAGATGGCACCAACGCTACAAACAATATGTTTGATCATATGTAGGCCCCAATCAAAATATAATGATCAGATATAAGTACTCGTGTCATGTCGGTGCGGCACATGCCTCGCAGCAACATAAATCTCGAGCAAAGACGGAGTCGAAAAAAGTACCGAGCCCGACGAGAGCAGTCCTACCGTAGCAAGAGGACGGCAGGCAGTTGCTTCGATTGGAGGAGGAGGAGGAGGAGGAGCGATTGATAGATGGAGCTCACGTGGCCTACTTTTCATTTGGAAAACAAGTAGTTACAAAACAAGTTTGAGAGGTGGTTTGGGATAAGCTGTTCAGTTGAATTGAAATAAAACGTTAATCCTCCTGATACTGGTGCTTCTAGTCTTAAAAGCAGTCCAGGGAAGCGAACGAAGCCGCTTTTTTCTCGGCGACGTTTTTCCGCATTTTCATGCCAGCGGAGAAGACCAGAAAAAAGTGCCATTTTGACCGTTAATAAGCTGCCCAAGGTAGAAAAACAGTAAGTAAGCAGACTCCCCAGATCTTCTACTACTTAGTAACGCAATTTACACCCGCGGACGTTACACAGCGAAATGGCACGCGCTCACTGCGCGACCACCGAAGTGGTCACACTCCTTCCCAAGTGTCGTGTTTTGGTGCGCCAAGCCCAGACGCACGTCTGCCGATGAAGTTGGTTTCTTCAAGTCATGTCGTTTGTTTTTGCCTAAGTACTACAAGAACAGTAGTAAAAGATATCCTCGATTGTACAAGAATGCAGCCTAGAATTCCTGAAGTATTTCATAGGGGTGGTTTGCGAAAGTTGGATAGTCTTTTTCTTGACCATCCACATCTGACAAATTTCGTCTTTGGCTCTTTATTTGTGTCAAGTTTTCAATTTCGACATTTCCACACTCACACGCTACCTCAGTCGCTCGTGCTCGTCGTGAACTCTACATCAGATATCACACCCCTCTTCACTCTCATCACTTTGCCTGTTTCTCCTTTGTAACGACACGACTTGAACGAAGGAGCTGCCGGAACAGCAGTAGTTTTATTTCTAAATCACTTCAACCTTCACAAGCATGCTTTGTGTTTGTCAATCGACATGAAGAACGATGCGTCCTCCGCACTACAGGTGGAAAAGAGCTTCATAAACCGGAAAAGAGTCACGACATTGATGATCCGCTGACCAACTTGTGCATAAATGGATTCTAACACGGATCGAGGTCGTGTGCATCTGCGTGGTAGTTCTTGTATATTCTACGCCAATAACGTTAAGAGGGTTGCTCTCGCGGGAATCGGATTTGAATGGAAAAGAATTCCGAAAGACGAGAGTTCTGTGTACAAGTGAAATCTATTCTCTTGTTCAATTTCTATGCAGACCTAACCCAATTTCTATGCTAACCTCAGAACGAAGGCGTTGTACGAACGACACAGGACGAAGTTATCGCACCACCTGATCGACTCACCAACACCATCTAGTACTTTATCGATTGAGAACATCTTCATCCGTCGATTTTTCTACGCTTGGCTTCAGGCTGTGGTGGAAGCTGATCCGCGCCCTCCGTCAAATTATTATCTCTATCCGTATACGCACTTTGCTGTTGCGCAGCCTCATCTCTGATGGCTCCGAAGAGTACCTCCTTCATGTAAGCAAGCGTTTGAGCTTTCTCCGGGTGTTCAGATTTGACATATCTGAACCCCTTCGCTCCTCGCAGAGATCGTCCGTCTACAAAGGAGTAAAATGGTCCTTGCTCCTCATCTGTGCTTGATGTTTTTTCTAGTCGTGGTTGTAGTTGTTTGTCTTCTTGCTTTACACTTACACTCTCTTCTTCGACTGCAGTAGTTTTGTGCTGGTTTTCCGGCGCTAAAAGTGCCTCGAATTCGGCTTCCACTGAAGCTAAATCATCCGGATACGAACGAGGAGTGACTGCTTGTTGCTCGACCACTTTGGTTGAAGTTGTACTTCGTGGTTCTGCAGACTTGGAAGTCGTCGTGGCATTGGCATTGCCACCTGGTGCTGGTACAACATTACTTCTGATTCCACGGCTCGTCTCTTCCCTTAAACCGCGTAAAACAGTGAGCAGATCAGGAAGGTTTTTTGTGGAGCTAACCTTTTGGGCCAGAGTCTTGATCGTAAAGCCAAAAAGCTTCTCCGTGTCTTTCAGAATCATCTCCTGTACGTTCCATTTGATCTCTGGGAGAATATTAGAACTATACGAGAAATCCAGCTTCGGTGCATTCATCTTGGAGGTTATATCCCGTTTAAGTAAGTATTCCCTGTTGCAAAGCGATTTCAATTTATTTTTATTGTTTGAAGGGATATTAAGCCTAAGATTAGAGGGAAAGCTAACCTGTGGAAAAACGAGGAGGACCAAGATGTTGCTGGGGAACAAAGATGGATTTTCAACCTTGTTGTTTGTAGCCTTAAAAATAGTACCCGTATCAATGCACGTCTGCACGTAGAGTCGCAGACACTCTTCCCGTGAGGGCACAGTGTGCGCTTGTGCAAGTGCCGCGATGTTTCTAATTTCATCTTTTTCTGCTTCGTTTCGCATCATTTGCCTCACTTGCGTGAAGAGTGCCAGATTCCACTGTGCCCCACGTGCGATCATCAACGGAATTTGAGGGTGTAACTTGCGAAAGCAGCGGACCTGTTCTAGATTGAAAAAGTCTCCGTTCGCAATGAGCGGAGGCGCGCTCGCTAGATCAATCCGACGACCCTGAAAATTGGTGATCTCCCCGCGCGCCGCCAAGGCTTGCCTCAACTCCAAGAAAAGCGGCCATCTCGCAGGTTGCCGTGGTCGGTCCGGGATGTAGCGCATGTGCACGCAGACGGCGTCCGCGCCTGCCTCGAGAAGTTTTATGACCAAATTGCGCGTGCGAAGCACGGCCGCCGCATCCCGGTCTGGATCAGAATCCACGGTTGCCGCACTCGAACAAGAAGTCGTCGTTTTCTTCACCTCTACAGTGTTGACGTCAGTTTCACGCACAAAACGGATTTTGCAAGTGACGCTCTTCTCCCTTGGCAAATTGGCTCGCAGGTTCTGCACAATACGCGCTGCCAAGGGCGGTTGGGACAACAACGCGGCACCCATTCCACCTTTGACGGAGAAGCTCTTTGGACAGCCCATATTCACGTCTACACCGGCTACGTCCTCGATGACGACGCGGGCCGCTGCGAGAGCGCGATCCGGACAACAGGTACCGAGCTGAAAGATCGTCCGATTTTGCCGCACTTCGCTGTCGGTCGTCCGAAACACCGATTTCCTCTCCCCGCCATTATTGCAATTCGGGTTGCGACTTCCTAAGAATACTCCCGATGCTGTAGAGCGGGCAGATACGACCTGGCCTTCATGATTGGCTTTCGGCCCGTTCGTCGAAGCACCAAGTGGGGCGACAGAAGATGCCTCTTCTGGTGTGGCTGCGGGAGTTGGCGGGCTGCTTGTCGCCTTTTCTTCTCCCGGTGAAGATGCTGTTGAGGCAGTACTTCTCGCAGTAGAAGCTGAAGTAGTAGGACAACTTGTTGCAGAAGGCGGAATAGCAGACCCAGTAGGACCAGCAGGAATACTATTAGAAGCTCCTGCTCCTCGTCCTGTCGCCGCACTATTCTTACTAGGTGCTCCCACGTAATATTCTATGGTTCCTGGATAATGGGGATTGCGGAATCGCTGGGCTTGAATGATTCGCTTATCAATTGTTTCCTCCGTGTAAACTAGATCACAGCCAAGGTCACGACTGAGGAGACGCAATGGGAGGGTGCTCGCACGCACCATGGGTGCCAATATCGTCGTCGCATCACGGTAAACGGGATGCAAAATATTGTTCGTCCTCGATGTGGAAGATGCGGATTCGTGTCCTGTTCCTGGAGGTCCTTCCGTTTCCAACATATCGTTTGTCGCTTTTCCATCCATGTTGTCTGTCACGAATTGGGGCTTGGTGCCCACATCAGCGTGTGAGGACGTCGCATCTGAGGTCGCTGCCGTGTCGCTCATTGTTGCAGGGGTGCTTGTAAGAATAAATGGTGATGGACTTGTTCTGTTCCGCTAGTGATCACATCTTCTCATGGTCGTGCAACAACGAATGCAGTCCTGTTTGTAGAAGTCCTGTTTGTAGAAGTCCTGTTTGTAGAAGTCCATGAGGAAGTCGCGATCATCTTCATCTCTACATTCGTCCTACGCTAGGAGAGATTCGTTCAAAACGACGACATGGATGATCAAAAGGTTTTTTATCTAAATGTATATTTCTACTTCTAGCCATTGATCATTCAGGAAATAGACACACTAGAAGTGGGTGCAAGTACACAGAATGGGAGGTGTCAACTAGACCTTCATAAACCCTATTTTTCACGATTTTTACCGACCTGCTGTGACTCCTAGAGAAAAAGATCGGATACGAACCTCAGGGATCCTCCTGTTGTAACGTGAGAGCAGTAACAAACTTCTATCCACTTTACGGTGATGATCTTGGTAAGTAGGTAACTGACCGGTGGCGTTTACGTTCTTTTGTTGTGAGGATCATCCTTTTTTCCGATAACGCTGACAAACGTCAGATACATCTTGCACCGGTTACTTTTCCATGATTTCCATCAGCTGATGCGGCGGGTCTAGCAAGGAGAGAATTTCAATTCTTTTCATTCATATTTTTTTTAGCAGTAACATTTCTTGACTCTTGCATGTTTCTGTCTCAAAATTCGAAACCAGTATTAACTCTTTGGGTGTAGGAGCTGTGGGGAGTCCCACAAACCACGACAACTTTAGTTGCACATCGCCAAAGGAAGTACTTCATCAACGTCTTGTTTTGGCAATGAATCCAAAAAAAAACCCATCATTTCACATATCTTTCGGAAATGATAGATATATAAGTCTTACTCTTTTAGTTGGCCATGGATAGTACATTAAGATCCTAGTGGTACAACATGATTCTCGTATTCCAAGATCGTCGTTTTCCAAGTACATTGTCACGACTTCTTAGGGTCTCTTCCCTACCCAGGGTGGTCGCATTTGTGCAGGTTCGCGTGTACTTTGGGCCCTCCCAAGCGGTACAATAGGATAGTTGCTCTGCAAGGACGTCGTGAAGTTCTGGCTCCCTGTTCCTAGAGAAGTGAGGGAGGCAGTCTTGCTGCCCAGTGTCGAAGCTGGAAGCTGCGTTGTCATTACGCGTGGGGTGATGTTGGTCGTAGACATCATCGGACCTCTTTCAAGAGGAAGAGCTTGTGATGTTTGCCTGGGTCCTCCAGCTCTATTTCCGCCGCTTACCGATACCGCAGTACAGTTGACAGCAGTAGTTGTTGCTTCACCATTTGCTCCTGGCGGTGCGTTCAGATGAGGCCGAAAGTTGCGTGAAGTAGCAGGAGCTGTTGTGGTGAAGGGGGTTGCCTGGAAACCAGAAGCTCCACCTCCAGCCGCACGCCCACCAGCTGAACTAGGAGGTAGTCCATTGAACTGTCCTCTTGCTGGCCCGTTTCCCCTAAATCCATGCAGAGGGCCCATTGCGATATGTGAATTTTGCGGGGAAGCGGCAACCGAAGACGCGGCTGTCGTGGACGTAGACGAGAATACTGCTGGCGCCCCCCCTCTACGTTGAGGAGATAGAAACACACGCGCGCGCGGTCCTTCATTGCCGACCCCTACTTGACTGGACTGGCCCAACTGGTGCTGTCCAAACATCAGCGTACTACTACGCGCTGCAACGGCATGTCCAGGCTGGCGCTGCAACGGCGTGGCGCCTGAGTTTTCTTCACAGAACGCTCGCTGTCTGGCACCAGATGAGAGCAAAGAACCCCCTCCATCTCCTCGAGGATGTGTGCTTTCATCGTTTTCTCCAGGAATACTGTCGCAGCGAACCTGTCCTGCACTCAGAACCGGATTTCCGACATCCTCCCGCGCCGCGCCACGGGTGGCTGCACGCCTTTGTGCCGAACTCACTTCGGGAGAGATGCGCCTACTCTGCGGACACGTGCGCACCTTGCGCTGGCCCAAAGCAACACTGCGTGCATTGTTCTTGTTGATGGCAATGCTGGAAGAATAAGTAGACGTAGTAGAAGTGGCCGCGGCGGGCTCATGACCCATATATTTACTAATTTTCGGGCCAGGAGCAGTCGTTGTAAATGCACTGTGATCAACGAGAGCACCGGGTGCGTTGTGAGACAGATTTTCTCTACATGCCAGATCATGATTATTTCCTCCGATGTCTCTTTGATTCAGCTTTCCAGCCGACGGAGAAACTCTAGCACCCCGCGGTGAGCACACGGCAGCTCGGCGCGGAGGAGAGTAGAAGGTGGCGCGCGTTCGGTTCCTCGGTGACACACGACTGGAAGACGCAGAGCATGTGACACGCTGTGCAGATTTACTGTTCTTGCTCCCAGCACCACAAGTGTGCTGCACTGGATGAACGATCGACGATTGATTTGATACTCCCGAGGACGGCGCTTCAACTTGTCCGCTTGTGGCTAAGGTGCCATCCACCTGATTTTGTTTCGTCCTCATGTCCCTCAAACGAGGCCCGGGGGAAACAGCAGCTGACGACAAATTTCGATAGTTACTTTGCAATTCCGTCAGCGTTTGCTGGCTCATTTGTATTGCACGTTCGTGCTTCTGATATGCGCGACCAAGCGGTGAGGTTGGCGAAACGGAAGGCATCACTCGACCGACACTAGCCATCGCACGCTCCGACGCTTCCTTCTTCAGCGTTCGCGATCTAGACTTAGCGGTAGGCTTTTGGTGTTCGGGTTCGCTTGCCCCGTTAGTAGCTATGTCCTTTGGCCTTAAGATGAAAGGCAAAACTAGCCTTAATAGACACGTAATTAATAGGAACACCTACTAGTACTGACAGTAATTAATAGAGACACCTACTACAGCTAAAATCTAGCCTTAATAGACATCGTAGCATCACTACTTTGCGCATTCCGGAGTCCAAAATTTTGTTGGTGTTCTCCACGACCTTCAACTAACACATTGCTTTGCCTCGTCGTTGTCGTCCGCGAGTCGTTCTGCTCGACCGTTGAATCCTGCATCACCACGTCCGCAGAACTAACGTCAACAATGCAGGACTCACTAGTCGTAGAAGCAAGAGCAGTCGTCTTGTGACCCTCAAGATTCATCTTCGGGTGTGACGAATCCGAAGGAGCAAGACCCGAATTCTTCAAAAGCGGTCCCCCCGTAGACAAACCGCCCAGCCAAACAGAACCTTTCCTAGCTTCGTAGTTGTACTACAGTAGATGATATTAGTGCTGACTATGCACCACACACACTTGTTGGACAATCTAGGTACAACTTCTAGTACACGTTTCAAAAGTATCTTCCAGTTGTACCTCCATTCTCTGGATGAGCGGATGACTTCGGTGACGTGCGTGCACTTTGAGATAGACGGGGTGGCAATCGGCACTGTAATCGCATTGAAGCGTGGCAAAAATTCGCCGGTGTGTTCGAGCTCGTTGGTGACAGCGGAGCTTGAATACCGAAAATGCCACTGCTTCCTGCCGATGGAACCGTCCCTGAAATGGTAGAGGAAAAAAGGAGAACGCTTTGTTGAGGTGCGCGACAAGTATAGAGGTGGACCCGAAAATTCGTTCTAAAATACAATGAAGCAGGTCCGTCGTTGAAGAAGATATTCTAATGAAAACTTAGATACAATTTTCGGCGTCCGGAGTTTTCGGTCGTGCACCTGCGAACGCAGTGGGGTAGATACTCAGCACCTCTTTGTGCACGACACAGTTTGGACCCGACATTGGTGCTTTCAACACTATATTAGATGGTCCCAAGCTCGTCGTGTCCACTTGTGTATTCTGATTTTGCGCAGTTGTAAGCGTACTATTGGCCACGTCGTCTCCCGCTGATTTCTTGTTGGGGCTTCTTCCAAAGAGTATTGCTTTTTCTACACGAGCGGCACAGCGTTCCACTGGCGGAGTGTTGTCTTTAGAGCTAACGATAATCCGTAATTTTGTGTAAGTTCAAGATCGATTCAAAGTTTGGATCTTCATCCTGAGAATAAAGGTACTAAAGCAATCTACAAAAACTACAATTAATGTTACGATCTCTTCAATCGGGAGCCTTACTATCATGATGATGAATGGACTAGACGGTGCTTTTTAAAAAGAGGACCAGCGAACTGATTTAGCTAAGTACTTAAACTTATCATTCATTTACGCACAAACTGGAGCCATACTATCATTTAGCGCTTGTTGCGGAGCAGCAGCAGGTGGAAGTGAGCCTCCATCTCTGTTCTCGACGCCCACTGCATCTCCAGCGTCCACACCAGTCTGCTCCAATTCTTGAGGATCTCGACATGTGGTCCGACTTAGCTCCGCACACGATTATGAATGATTTTTTTTCATCTGTACAGAACAACGAGATCGAAGGGGCCTCCCTTAAACTATAAAGTCCTAAGGGGAAAAGGGGCAGCCTCGATGGTCTAACTGACAGATGGAGAAAATATCATCCATAACAATGCCTCTTTTTCCGCTAGTTGCGCTTCGTAGTTCTGCCGCTCGCGCAACATCCTAGCTAAATGTCGTTTTAAACGAGCGCTCTCTTCAGTGCGGAAACCGAGCTCCCGCTCTAGCTCTGGCACGCGCTTGACGTAATCAGCGAGTTGATCCCGCATTTGACGCTGTGTATCACGACAGGACATCTCCTTAGAGGAGGTTGCAGCATTACATTCTTCGGAACATCTTCCTTGACCCATTTTCCACTTGAAAAAAGGTCAAGGATGCAAGTGAAGAATGCAATTTGGACACGCGCCTTAATCTCCAAACCTGTCGGAAACGCTTGCGCAAGAACAGTAGTTGTAGGGCGTACTTCCGTTGCAGCGCGTACCTCTTCCACCGCCACGACTGAATCTAGTTTCGCCGAAGACGATGCATGACTTCGCCCAGTCAGTTGTTGTTCATCGGCTACTGGTGACGGTGTTCCTGCTGGTGCTGACGCAACGTCTTGCTTGGGGATTGGCGGCTTACACTTTGCTAGACTCGACGCCGTCTGTTTCGTCATAAACCATTAGATAAGCCTCAGCGGACCTCTTAGCGGTCCTCGAAAGAATTTCATATTTCACGTTCTCAACAAGGTTTCCAAAACGCAATGTCCAGTTCTGATTCTCTCAGAATTCCAGAGCACAACAAGAATGAACTGAACATGAATAGATTCATCTGTTTATGAAACGAATTTCACTTGTACATTACTAGTAACGATATTATCCTTCTGGGAGGCATAAAACGATGGCGGGATGTTCTCCTTCTGGCTGTAGACATCCTGGGTATTTTTCTCTGCTTCTGCAGAATTCTCATGATCGCCAGTAGTCGAGATTGAACTGCTCAACAATGGAGTTCGATCTTCTCGCAGCATTATATATGAATGGCGATTTTTCCATCTAGCCAGACCATAAAGGCACCCCTTCAGCTATAGAGTTCTAAGTGGAAAAGGTCACAATCTGACTAGATGGTCTGAAAGATGGAAAAAAGAACATCAACATCCATATTGTAGTGGCGGACGAAGTGGCACCGAGGCTATTTCGCGTGTCCTCTACTCCGGTTGACGACGACAGGCCGATTAACGCTTGCTGGACCATAGCGGACGATGCCTTATACCTATTCCAGTCTAGCTGCTGCTGCTGCTGCTGCTGCAGGAGCCCCGGTTCTACTTCTACTACATTTTCATCGTAGTTATCTACGACTACCTCTTGAAGCGTGTAGTTCTTGCATGACCTGCTCAAATTGTGGGATGTCGAAGAAGAAAGCTGATCCTGGAGTTCATCATCATCTTTCAGAACCTTGCTGAGCAGGACGTCGGATCCAAAAACCCCAGCTGTCTTCCCTTCCAGTTTTTGCGAACTGGCATGCTGGTGCCAAGCAAGCAGAGTGTATTTCTGCAACCAGAATGCGGCGTCTGCCGCTCGATTTAGCAGAAGACCCTGCATTTTCTACTGGTGGAGAAAAATATTGTGGTCTAGCAAAAACTGCGGAAGTTGTGGTCTCTCACTAGTACAATTTTCAAGAGGTCTTTGAACTAGAACATGCACATAGACAACACTAATTTTTTCCATTTAACTTATACAGTTTTGCCATATCCACGGGTCAACATAATGAGTACAAGCAGTGAAGCAAATATATCTACTACTACAGGAGGAGCTCTGTTTTCTTGTGAGCTCGTCGGGTCTCTCGATTGCCACAACAGAAGTTAACTCTCTTCTCTATCTTCTATGGCAGGCACCGACTATGCACCATATATCCGCCACATTTATATATAGTTCTTGCCGATGGACCACCTTCGAGGAAAAATCATGCTGTACCGTGCGAATATTGTTCTGAGTGATCATCATATCCTTCTCTGCCTGGCTTGAACAACACGCATAGACCTAGATTTATCAAACACAGTGAGATTCTGCGGCGGCTGCACGCACAAAAAGTGCAAGAAGAAATTGAGACCCTCCCACAAACATGAGACCATTCAAGAAATTCATTCCAGAATATTACTGACGCACAATTGAAGGTGTAATACGGAAGTGAAAGAGAGAAGGTTTTAGAAGTTCTTAGAATTACATCAAAGTATGGACGCGAACTACATCAAGAGTATTCATTAGGAAACTAGCTGTAGGTACTAATCGTGAATGCTGATCCGATTATAGTACCGGGAGTACCCGAGCGAGCTACTGCAAGCCATCATCGATCGCCACGTCTCTAACAGCGTCTCTGAACTGTCATATTAATCTTAGAATAGGAGCATCATCATCTTAGCATAAAAGTAATTAGAACACGCTCCGCAACTAAGCAATCCATCACGGAAAGAATCAATCATGTATTATATCCGTCAATATCATCGTGAATCTTTCTAAGAAAGGTAGAAGTCATCTCTTAATTTCAAATCTTTTGCTTTTATACACAGAATAAGTCTAAGCTTCAACTTATTGCAATTCATTCAATGATTGATTCCATAAGGTACAAGTCATCTCTTAATTTCAAATTTTTTGCTTTTATACACAGAATAAGTCTAAGCTTCAACTTATTGCAATTCATTCAATGATTGATTCCATATCTATTGACAAGCATTGATTGCAGAGATGATAATTAATGGCTACAACAACAACACCTATTTAACCTTGTGTAACTAATTACAAGAGTAGTAGTTACGCCACTCTTCTCACATGGTAACGCGTCCTCCCGAGATGCTACGACACAGCTCCAAGGGAACGCGAACTTCTAGAACTAGATTGTAACTCCGAATAGTAATAGAGTTCTTGCATTTCCATATCAAAACTTACTTAGGTGGTCTTGTTGACAAAGACAAATCTTTTTCCTGCTGATAGAAACATTCTACTGATAATTCTCAACCTCATATAAGGGCACGTGCGTGTCGACCTCGTCTATGAAGCTTTGCGCCGGTTGCTCATTAGAACGAAGTGACACTACGACACGTCGTCTATGAAGCTTCGCACCGGCTGCTCATTAGAACGAAGTGACACTACCTCAGAGGTGCAGGCAGGTTAGGTAAGATTATGGATCCTTCACATCGAGCTCCGCCGGCACCTGTTCGAATCCGAAGATGATGGGAATACACGACGTCAGCATTCTTGAGCCATGTGGCGGCGTGCCGTCTGTTGACCCGAACTAGTCAGAAAGTTTTGAAAAACTACAAGTAGAAACAAGTAAGCACTCAATAACGCACAGTGATCATATAGTTAGTAAATACGGCCAATTGACGAAAACAGTAACATCATGTCATGTGTCTCCAATCTGACTTGCCAAATCAGCTTTGAGACCAAACCCTAGGGGAACTCAAGACAGACTGAGAATTTATACAAGAAAATAAAGGGGACATTTACGAAATTATACACATGAACAACAAGCTCCTGTTGTTCTATTGAGCATATTTCTTAGACGTTGAAAAACCAATAGTGCTTTTACCCTCTGCATCTCGTTCTAACTTTCTCTACGCTTAACAATAAAAATTTACTTAGTAAATATACATAGGAGGTTCCTATCGAGTTGCATCAAAAGCTCAAAAACTGAAACCATCGTACTATTCGGGAGCATGCATGATATTTGGAAGCACTAGCGCCTCAGGCTCGGCCTCACCTACTCCTATGACTACTTTTCCACGTGAATCGCCTATCATGCTTCTGAGTTGTACTCCGTTTCCCTTGTTGATGGAGTCGATTCCTCAGTTCGAGTCTACTACCACTGTCTCCCGCTGGTCGGGAGTGAGCGCGGTGCTACAAGACGACGACGCACTCTGGCGGGTGTACTTCGGCGGTGGAAGAGAGTTACGGGGAGACAGAGGCTTCCCATGATTTTCCCCATATTAGAGCGCAAAACATTTCACTTTTTGCCTGCAACATCTGTTCTCCCAACCCTAAAATTTAATGGATGGCCCCGGTCTTTGGTATAGCCTGAATTGGATCATCTAAGGGTTCTCTTCTTGTTTTCCCTTATGATCAAACTCAGGCTATACCAAAGACCGGAAGCATCCACTTAAAATATTTATAAAGATGTTGTAGAAAAAGAAGATGTCGAGGACCAAGAGATGACCGCCGCTCTCGAAGCTGAACAAGGTACTGGCACGAATGAGAAATGCAAGTGACTTTTAGGAGTGAAATGTATGGAGCCTTAACCATAGTTACCACCTCTACTTGCTGGAGAAAAGGAATCTTCATCGCTGGAAGAGTGCATGTCTTGCCTGATCTCCGTGACACCTCCACCGTGCTCCGAATGCTCTTCTGAAAAATGCTGCTCAGCGTCGTGTCCTGGTGGTGACCTCGCAGTCCCGTCGTCGCGGCAAAAGTCATCGTCCTGCTCTTCGTCAGATTCTTCATAACGATGTTGAGCAGCAGGATGCACGCGCGCACATGGTCCTCGCTGTTCTCCCGACGAATTGCGTGTGCTTCGGAGATTTGTTCCATGATTCCGAGACTCCACGTTTCGGGAACAAGTGTCTATCTTCTCATCTTGGCGAGTTCTTCTTCTAGTGGTGCCTCTTGTACTAGACCCAGAGGACACCCGTCCGCGATACGCGTTCGGCAAATGCTAGAGGTTGCGACATTGCATTCTTCAGACCATCCTTGACTTGTTTCGTTCCCCATTGAAAAACGGCCAAGAATGATAGCGCAGATTGCAATGTGGCAAACCATAAAAATGGGATTTGTCTCCACGTTGTTGTTGTTCATCTCCTCGAGTACTGCCGTAATTAATATCCTTTCCATCATCTTCATCGGAAGAAGTAGAAGTAGAATCATCTCTGGTGTCGTACCCGTCTCCTTGTCGTATCACAACTTCTTCGACATCTACTTCTGGTGGTCTTTTACTACTTACTAACTTTTTGCTATTGCTTCCTGCAGGTACATCACCACCGCTACTTCCACTCAGCTTGCTGGTGCTCTTGCTTGTCAACGTAGAAGACGGTCGTGTAGAAGAAGTACCCTCAGAAGTAAGTCCACCTCCGGAACAAAGTGCTTTAGAGGACGAACTCGTCTTCCTGTGAGTCATCATTTTCGAAATATAATAAGTTCAAGTTGTACCACCAACTTTACCGGTTTAGCACCCTGATGTGGTTCCAATTTTTGCCTCTAGAAGAACTAGTACTACAATATCATGATGAATCAAAAAAGTATATGAATGTTTTCAAAGAAAAGAAACGTATCAAGCAAGTAAGCGGCCTTAACAACCGAGGCTCCAGATCGTGAGGTTGCGCTCCTTGCAACAGGCTCCCCGAAGCGCAGATTGGCGAGTCCTTTGGCAGCCCTCAGCTCATCGCCATCTCTTTGCAGGCTCCATTGCACGCAACACCGCAACTGATCTATCAGATCGCTCACCTCATCCACGTCATGCAAAAAGTACTTCGCTTTGGACGGTTTTTGACCCACGGTGCACGAAAAATAAGCTGGTGTTCGATTGTAGTAGAGGATATAATCGCCCGTTGATCATTTTTTGTTACTTTTTCCATGCATCAATTTATCTTATCTGTACACCAAAATCACAATGTCACGGTGCTTGGGGTTCGGCAGGCACTTAGTACTTCAGAAATGATATACCCGTTCGCTTGCCAGCACCGTTCATCTGGTCACTTCCGAGATTACAGAGGCCGCCAATAATGGAGCTAGATCGTTGCTGACGCCAGGTACTACTATCCGAAGCCGTCTCATCGGTCGTACTGCAGCTGTCTGGACCTGCGCGCTCATCCCGCATTGCATTTTAGAACTGTGCATGATCACTTTCAGCACAAGGACGATGTCAAGTGTGTCCTTCTCATTATACGGCCACTCGAGACCACCGTAGAGACTGTATGGCCGCCCCAGGTCTTAGGTTAGGTTAGGTTATGGATCCTTCACATTGAGCCCCCTCTCAAAGATGAAAGCATTATCTACAGCCTTAAGCATTTATAACCTGAAACATGTCTTCGTCCGAGCGGTCGTCGCCTATACAAAGGATGAAATCCGGCTCTCCCCGAATCTTCGAAATCTGAGATTAGAAGGAGAAGAAGATCCCTTTGTTTCCCTTTCGTTGGCGTAGACGAACGTTCTTCATCGTGTGGGTCCACAGTACCTCATCGTGCCCCCAATACTTGATAGTGTCCGCAGTACCTCATCGTGTCCCCAGTACCTCATCGTGTCCCCAGTGCTTGATAGTGTCCCCAGTACTTGATAGTGTTCATAACCCCCTAACTACCTACCAACGTAGAAACAAAAACATATCTTCGACGTACTACCTGTAGTAGATACAAAATCACATCAAGATCGACCTTCTATCCTTGACTGTTGTCATCTCTTGCCCGCTTTCTGAGAAAGAATCGCCATAATTTGACAGAATCTTCGACACTGCCGATCCCTTGTTCACTCCCGCAAGTTTGACTTCTAGGTAGCCTTTCCCTTCTACGATCTCGACTGGGAAGGCAAACATGAACTCACGCAAATGCTGGGACAGCTCCTTCGCTTGCCATCTCCCGAATTCAGGATCGGAGTCGCGATACGTCCATACTAATGCTGAGTTAGAAGAGGCTGAGACAATTTCAATTCATTTCTACAAGCCTTCGTTCTTTATCTTTACGTCTTATAAGCAACATCTTTTCTTGTAATAAGTTAAATATCACGAGTAAACAAAGATGAAGAAGGCTTCTAAATAATGGAGAATGTCCCAACAACCCTTAACTGAGCCCTTGTTCTCGATGTAACTGCCTTGCGTGCGATGCACATAGTGCTTTAAAAGCTCGAAAACTATTTTCTTCCATGTACTGTCCTTGCCGTTTTCCACCCCCTGTGACGTAACATACCTGAAGATATCGTGAAGTTTTCTTCTTGAGGACCAAAGGCAAGGGCAACCTAATCAAAGCCTTTGATTAGGTTGCCCTTGCCTTGTAAACAATCGCATTGGCCTTGTAAACAAATTTTCAATTCAAATGTTGAACAAAAAATCTATTGACCAGCTTAGGGAGTTCTTGTACTAACTATTTCTTCTACTCCATGTCCATCTTCTACCCAAGCGAATTACAAATTAATATTACTATGCAAGTACTTACTACACCCAAGCGAATTACAAATATTACTATGCAAGTACTTACTACACCCAAGCGAATTACAAATTAATATTACTATGCAAGTACTTACTACACCCAAGCGAATTACAAATATTACTATGCAAGTACTTACTACACCCAAGCGAATTACAAATTAATATTACTATGCAAGTACTTACTACACCCAAGCGAATTACAAATATTACTATGCAAGTACTTACTACACCCAAGCGAATTACAAATTAATATTACTATGCAAGTACTTACTACACCCAAGCGAATTACAAATATTACTATGCAAGTACTTACTACAATATTACTATGCAGGTAGTAAGTACTACCAGTCGTCCCCCGAAATGCTCGGCAACCTGTAGCACCAGCCATGTTCAGCAGCGAGACCGATATTAGGCACAGACGCAAACCAATCTTGCATTTGCGTCTTACTTCTCCCACTGATGACCACGACAATGTTCTTCGGATCCCTTGATAATTCTCTAAGGCATTGGAGGACACTCTCCCTGGGCGGTGCACCTTTCGAGTTCAACTCCTCGCTATTCGTCGGTGCGGCGCCCCGACGCGAGTACAAATGTCGCAGATCCGCTGCCAAGGTGCCTTTGGGCATGAAAGAGAGGAGAACTAACAACTTCAAAGGAGAAGGGGAACTAGCTTGCTTCAGAGGACCTTTGCAAAAAGAGGACGGATGCAAAATAAACTTCAAGCAAGTTCCTATGTTGTGGGCACAAGTGAGTCTTACAGGACGAAACGCTTCTTCAATTGGTTCATGCAAATGCCACGAACTCCAACATCTATCAAATCAACGTTCTAAAATATTGAACTCTTCCTAGGCCTTCTCGTTGTAGCATAACATTATCCAAAAAGAAGACGCGGCTCGTCCGGCTGGTTCGGTAGGACTGGATCACGTCATCGGTCTCCAATTTTCTAAACTGTGCGTCTAGGGACATCAGTCTGTAATTCGCACCGAATCCGTAGCAGATATAGCTGTACTCGTCTTTTTTCCTGGCACTCCGTAAATCTTGCAAAAACCCTAAAGCCCACTTCAAAAGAGAATGGTTCTTGCAATAATCCATATCGATCGTGTACCTAAAATTGGTGGAGTTGCCCTTCTTACTGCCTCCTCGTCCACTAAACGGACGAAGATACTATTGCTATGTATTCACTAGACAACTATGCATGCATGTTGTAGCTGCAGGTGTACTACTACTTGATCTTCTAGAGTAAATAAAAAAGGTTGTAGGCGTAGGCCTTGGCAGCGTCTAGAGTGTATAAAACAAAAAAGGTTGTAGTGTAGCGATCTTGGTTTGACAATAATTGCAGATCATGATCGTGTTGAAAAATTGAGACGGAGACTATCTAAAAGGCTGGTTTGCTGTATTAATACTGAAGCAAGCTTAAAAAAATCCACATGCGCTACCTTTCGACGCGCTCTGCGATTGCCATCCTACAACATCGATCACAAGCAGCTTGCACCTGCTGCGTATTCCAAGGATTCACTTGGATAGCGCCCTGCAAAACACGCGAGCAACCCGTAAACTCCGAAAGAATCAACGATGCCTATTTTCAGGATGGTACTAGTAGGTTTATTCTATGTTATCTTTCCATTGACAAAGAGAGAGAGAGGGAAAAACGACGAGTTCTCATCAACAACTAAAACGAAGAACCATCGACAAAATCACGGTGAATACCCGTCTAGTGTCCTGATGGCAAGCCAAAAACTCGAAAGGGCCGAGATTGAGACCGTCTCGGACCTGGGTGTCCACCAAAACATCGGCGCTGCGGAACAAGGCCAATTTTTCGTCCCGTTCGACCTCATCTGTGATCAGTAGAATGTGCTCTCCAAAGGCGTCATTTACTTCAGTTACCAAGCCCTGAAGTGCTTCCACGAGTTTGTTCCGTCCGTCTGCCGGAAGCATACTGGTCGTACTGGGGTACACACACTGGACTAGGAGAACTCGGTCTTAGACGTTAAAATTTTGACTGTGTTTTGTCCTCGATAGAGCTCCTGTTGATACTCCATCATTATATTGGAAAAGAGTAGACGAGCTTGCTCCTGAACGACCATCGAGCGTGGTGAATCTAAAATGCACAATTATGCTCGTCCTTCCACTTCTTTGTTTCTTGCCGTTTTAGTAATCCTTCTTACACTCATTCAAAATCGTGTGCGCCTTAATTGTTTTGATATCTTGGATAGTCTGCCAGAAAACCATGAAACATGCGGATCTTCAGCATCACTCCCGCCAGAGCATCGCAACGGTCAAGACCCGCGAAGATGAACTTGCCTGCTGAGTTAACGCCAGGCAATCACTATCCGTTGTGGCGTGGCAGTGGATCTGGATCGATTCCCCGTATTCTCTCACATGACAACATCCCCTTATAACTTTTAAGGTAAGCCCACTGTTCGGCATAGTCCACACCAGAACCAGATAGTGATCAACAACTAAATCCTTAACATAGTCGTCTCGCAGCGAGAGCAATCGACGCAAATGCCGTGACTTACGACGTGACTTTGATTTGGTGGCCAAGAGTTTTTGAGGTGGTCGGAAGTGTGCCACCGAGTGTGACCTGCCTATCGGATGTGGACGAGGGCCACCATAGTAGAGTCCACCTCCAGGTCCGCCGATGGTTGCGACACCACTAGCATGGACGTGCTCGGGTGCCGTTGGGTAGGCATACCGTGGCACGCCCCCTCGGTCGTGGGGAAAACCTGCTCCGTACGTATGCGGTCCACCCGGGTGCGGCTCAGCTCCATCTGGTCCTAAGACACTCGCCTGCGGTTGGCGCGGGGATGTGCTAGAGTCCTGAATATCACCAGAATTCATGAAGTTTTTCGCCACAGTCACATGCATTGGCCCGGCCGCGGTGCCTAACGTCACGGCCCGCTGAGTTAGAGGGTGCAGCATTACGATCAACACACTCCTCTTCGGGACATCCCTGGCTTCATTTCTTCGGGTAGGAAATAAAGAGCCAAGAAGGGTAGTGCGGGATGTAATTCGGTAACCCTTAATCGAAGCGGTGCCGGTGGTGACGTGGAGGTGCCCAGAAGGGAGCGCAAGCCAGGTGGGCTACCAGAATGCACTACTCCTTCGACCGCCGAATCTGCAGCCAAGACCACAGTTGTGGCACAGCTACTAGTCATGGAAGCACAGAGAGGCGAAGCTTCGCCAGTCTTCGACGTCCCGCTCAGCGAGTCATCCCCTTCCGCGAAAGAACTCTGCACAACTGTCGTTGCGAAGCCGACGTTCGGAAGGGTATCCTGATTTTGGAACGAAAGCGAAACTTGTAACAGCATGAGTAAGATAAGAAGCACTACATCTCGGCTAATTTTTTACTACGCCGCCGCAACTACACCCTCAACGTGAACATCAATATTTTTAATACTCGAATATTACAACATTCCAACGAGCCAGTCGTGCAGCACCAGCATGGTAAAATCTATTCAAAAATGGCCTCTTATTCGAACAAGTACTTCTCGATCTTCGTCCCGCTCCTCTGAGTCGTGCTTGTCAGGTGATAGCGATTCCGCGTTCTCGTCTTCAAGCTGCTCATTGATTTTGGCCAAACCCCGAAGCGAGCACTCGCTGAGTCTATCTCCAATCTTCGGAATGGAGGACCCACCGATGTCGGACAAGGCTGGCACACTGATGCTGGGTGCCAGTGAACCAGAAATACTCTGCGTCGGAAGTAGATCTGGACTCGCGAGGGTAGCAGGAGATCCGACTTTAGAGTCAAAAAATTTCAAATTCAGCTTAGAGTCTAAAATTCAGATCTTGAGACTCTCAAAGAACTCAAATTCATTGCTCAAGCAAGTTATAGTTATCTATCATCGATCAGTTTTAAATAAAAGAGGGGCTGTTATTTTCTGCTCAAGGAGCTCAACGAACTGTACTTGTACTTATTTCAGTCCTTTGCTTAACACTCGTCGTGGTTCCCGGAGTGCCTACAGAGTAGCCGCTTTGTTGGATCACACGCGCACCACTTGATCGTGCGGGAACAAATTCTAGACCCCCAAATTCCGCACCACCACTGCTAAACAGAGCAGCTGAGTGCCCTCCTCCTCCTCCTTCTCTTGCCAAGGCACGACCCTCAACAACATCCGACTGTACCTTAGCAGGGGTTGCGCCATTACATTCTTCAGAGAGATCATCCTTGTTGACTTCTTATTCCTTCCTATTGGAAAACAAGTCAAGATCATGAATGGTAGTGAAGAATACAATTGTTCGGTAAACCATAACAACTACTGGTCTCTCGTGTGTTGCGTCCTCCAACAATCCTCGCTGAGTGTTCTGCGCAGCCGAAAGGTCGTCAGCTCTAAGGGCTTCTTTTAGCTCGCCTAATTTGCTCGCCGCCTGCGCAACCTCCGCGACATTTACCATCACGTGACCAACTGTGACCGAGGCATGAAACAAAGATACTTGTCCTCTAGTCACGGGAAAATTCGAAGTTCATTCATCATCTCTTCTATCACAGTGTAATTACTAAAAGAAGTGGAATAAACCACGACCGCAACAGCAATCAGCCAGGACTGGGCACACCCATTTCCTCAAGCACTCTTCCAAATTCCTTGGTCATAAATTACATTCCTGCCGCCGTATTCCACTGCCATCTGCCCGTAGCGCAGAAATTGGTAGTCGAGTCCCAAGAACTTTTTTACAGTGATGAAGAACTTGCGGACATACTCGAAAAACTGAAATCCTACAAGATCTGCGCATAGCATCGCACGTAGTATTTCTTCCCGCCATGGGAGACACTTGAAAATGTCTGAGCTCGGGAACGGTGTGTGCAGGTACAAGCCGATAGAGGAATGAAGGAGAGGAAGGGGAATGATGAACGTCAAGGGCAGGATAGGCAATAATCATGCGTAGAATGGAGACTGGATAATGCTGACTTCTTGAATATGATTTTGATTAAGACATCCTTGCAGCAGATAATCAATCTCTTAGATGTACATACAACGGCCTCATCAAGTACTTACTTAGCTCGTGCCCATAAGTAGAAAAATTGTTGGTTCTTTTGACTTACCTTCGTACGGTCACCTTCTTGTTGTAACTGTCTGTCTGTCTGTCTCTCTATCTATCTATCTATAATATGCTTCTGATATGAACGCTCTTTTTGATTTACCTTAGTACGGTCACTTTCTTGTGACAGTCTGTCCATCTAAGTACATTAATAAGCTTCTGACTGATATGACAACTGTTTATCAATCTAAGTTATATGTTGTCATTCATTCATTCATTCATTTACCTTCTAGCCTGTCATATCTAAGTTATAATATATAGTGTCACAAAAGAACATGGTTCCGCCCTACTTTGCCTTCCGTATTTTCCGCGTGAGGTACTGCGGGAGCATGAGGAGATGGTAGTCCTGGATCCAGAAGAGATCGGTGTGATGACTCGTCCGTATGACCACATCCGCGAAGCAACTATTGATACGCTGATAGCTTACCCACAGCTCCTCCAGTCCCGCCCGCGGCGCGCTCGACCAAGTGCCCTCCCTCTCGTAACTACTGCCGCAAGTTAGAGGACCATGAAGATGTCCATTTACTATGGAATCCTTCTGAAGTAGAGCAGGTAGTCATACTATTGAATCTTCTTCCATACTATTGAATCGTTCTGAAGAGCAAGAGCAACTTGCTCTTCTTCCTTCTGAAGTAGAGCAGGTAGTCATACTATTGAATCTTCTTCCATACTATTGAATCGTTCTGAAGAGCAAGAGCAACTTGCTCTTCTTCCTTCTGAAGTAGAGCAGGTAGTCATACTATTGAATCTTCTTCCATACTATTGAATCGTTCTGAAGAGCAAGAGCAACTTGCTCTTCTTCCTTCTGAAGTAGAGCAGGTAGTCATACTATTGAATCTTCTTCCATACTATTGAATCGTTCTGAAGAGCAAGAGCAACTTGCTCTTCTTCCTTCTGAAGTAGAGCAGGTAGTCATACTATTGAATCTTCTTCCATACTATTGAATCGTTCTGAAGAGCAACAGCAACTTGCTCTTCTTGGTAGTCAATGAGCAGGTAGTCATACTATTGAATGATCACTTGCTCTTCTTGGTAGTCTGTCAGTCATACTATGCTCTTGCTCTTCTTGGTAGTCTGTCAATACCAAACAACGAACCCCTCCAAGATTCTTCTCGAGACGAACTAGGGCAAGCCTTAATGGAAGCACGGAGTTGAGACGCACCACTTCGTGCAGAATCGGCCACATCAGTTGCTGACAGAACGTCATATAGTCATCGAACTCCCCACGAGGCAAAAAGACCGGAATACAATCGTACTGAAAAAGCAAGTCCGCAACCTGTCGCTTCTCGTACTCGCTCTCCAGATGTATGCCAGGCCAACCGACACAAAGCAGCCGGAACGCCGCTTTTCCGGCGCGAGCGTTCTGATGCAAACTAGGCACCAAATTAGCTTTGCTCTCGGTCACTGCCCAAGTTCCGTCCTTCGTCTTTGTCACCCTCCTTAGCAAGACAATCATCAACCAACGTCTTTGGCATAAAGTAGACAAAGGGTATTAAAATAATGACGTTTGTTAGCTGATGTGGTACATCAACCGATCTGGACCCGAAGTAAAGTAGAACACTGTCACTGCTTAGTTGTCGCAGTCCTATCAAGACATTAGTTCGACTTCAGTCGTTGATTCTTTCTTCTTGTTTCCATTAATAGTCAATATAGAAGTTTTTCCTTGTCTTTCCACATGTCTGTCTATTGTTGCGTAATTTCAAAGGCAGCTGAAAAGCGATGACCATGACAGTGTCACCTGCGCCAAGCCGTGGCTCCGCACTCTCCTCCTTCAGACGTTGTAATGCTGGATCGTCCTCTAGGAGTTTCGAGTCATCATCCGCAAGTCCTCTAAGATCATGTGGATCCACTCCCCCATCGTACTTAGAGCTACCGCGTTCGCATCCCTGACCGGATACTTGGCGCCTTTTTCCCTTAGGAAGAATGCGCCAAGGATGATACCCTTTAGGATGTTGCTCTCTTGGTTGCCTTAACGTAAGGAGCGAAGAAATCTTCATCCTCCGATCTGTAGTCCTCACTCGTTGCGCTCCTCGTTGGAGCAGTTTTTCGTCTCTGTCCGGAGAGTACTCCACGACTGTCTTTTATCGAGGAAGAAGGAAAACCTCCAGATTTGTTCAGAGAAGCGACTCCAGTTCTGGCAGAAGAACTTCCTGCACAAGCTGCCGGGATCACGGGAGAGTTCTTGTTCGCGCTGCCGGTCACAGGAACACCCGTCGATGTGCGGTTCATGTCGCCCAAAGCACAAGGTCGACGCCGCTGTGCGGAGGATAAGGACCGCGGCTGCACCGACTCGCGGGAAAACGAGCTGCGCCGAGTCGGCACCTTAAACTCCGCATTCTTGTCGTGGAACGCGATAGCACCTAGGGAATCCGACCTGTGCAACAGGCTGGCAAGCGGCGGCGCGGAAATGCTACCTGAGCTCGAAGCAGTATTGTTTATGTTCTCTTGGCAGGAGGCAGTACCAGTTGTACTACTACTAGAATCCTTGTTCTTTTTGGAACAATTTCCACGAATAGTATCCATGCCACCTCCTCGTGCATCTGCATCCCCTCGTCTAGAACTGCTGCGACTTGTAGTCTCAACGCTTGTCCGAGAGAGAGCTGCTATGGAAACTTTATTGCTAGACTTTTTGGGTTGCTGTTCCCGGCAGCGGAAGAGGCCACCATCGTCTTCAACTGTCATCTCCACCCCCGATGGGTATAGTTCATACCGCTCGCCGACCCAGAAAATACTCGGCGTTTTGCCCGCAACCCCCGTCGAAGCCATCGCCCCACAAGCAGCTAACTGCCGACATTAGAGGATATATTCATATCATGCAATACATCATATTATGTTGCAATACAATATATGATTCATACAATCAAAATCATTTCTAACGCGCGATAACTTCTACTATCGCATCGCTATTAGTCAACTAGGTATGGATCCTGCACATCCAGCCCTTCATAATGACTTTGATACCCTGCTGAAGGGGTTGACAATCCCTGAGCATTTTCGTCGTCTGCACCACCTGCTCCGCCAAAGCTAGTGCATGTTGAAGCTGAAGAGGCAACCCGAGAGGCCATGCGCTCCAGATCTTCAGATCCCTGGAAAATACCACTAAGGAACGAGGAGAGTGAGGCGGATAAAGACTGCAGTCCCTCTCGCGCTCGGCTTGTGCTGTTCTCCTCATCTCTATCACTGTCGGCACAATGGCCCAGAGCTTAGAAGTTGACATTCGACATTGACATGAAGACGAAGATTCAGTATTCTTGAACTTGTCAGTTACAACATAGCCGTAGACTCTGAACAATGCAAAAAAACTCAATCAAAAATGGTAAATAATTGCCAAAAAAAACTTCCTCTGAAGAACAAAAGCGAGAGCGGCCTGGGCAGCCTTAAAAATCCATGTAAAAGCTGTCGCCGCCCCCGCTTCGGTCACCATCTCCGTTCCTAGACGTAGAAGAAGAAGAACCAGTTTGATTCTGGCTTGAAGAAGACGTGGAAGCCAAATTCGCCAGCTCATCCTGCAGGGACATGCGTTAGAGCTTATCAAAACAATTCTTCATTTCTTCCCTGAAGACACTTCTTCAGGTTCATCCCCCAAGACGCACGAGACAAACAAAATAAGTAGACTAATATTTATAATGACCGTTAGAAATGACTTGAACTTGTATGGAAATCAAACCGTAAATGGAACGTGACTCAGCCCCGCCGCCGTCTCCACGCAGTTGGCCTCCATGCTTCGTCGATGCAGACCCTTCGGTCGTGGAGGATGCCGTGCTGCATCCGTCATCCGCGTCACCATCCGTTCGCGGGATAACCACATACTGATACTCGATCCTACGCGGTGATGTCAATTTTTAGACAGGGTTAATGTTTAGACACATACAGAGTCATGAACTGAATTTGGATTGTTCTTTCTCAAAATATATGTGTTGCAGAAGTAAAACACGTCAACGAGGTTTCAAGTTGTTGTTCAATCGGATCAAGAAGAAGGAGGACTAATAAAAAAGTACACAAGAAACCTAAATCGAACTTTAACTTACTACCAGGAAGCAACGAACTACCACGACTACAACAAGAAAATAGAACACTGATGACCATGACTCGCATCTACTCGGCAATCTGCCTAAGATTTCCCTGAAGAAAATACAATACTAGTACTTTTCATTCAACGGTAAATTCACTGGATCTTTCGAGAGGTAGCATGGGAAGTATTCGGCGGACGTGTGTAGCTCTACACCACGATCCGGGTCCCAGCCTCCGAGAGCACTTGCAGAACCGACCAATTTGACGCGACTCTCCGAGTCGCCTTCAAATCTGAAGCGGAAAAAACAACGCGTCGTTGCCGCGGCGCTCCCCGTTTGCTGGCCTACCATAGTAAATACTTATATTTTTTTCTTCTCGAAATCGACGTATAATAATGTTAGCGAGTCCCACGGCTGCAGGAAGCAAGATTGGCACTTCTCAGGAGGAAACAAATTGAAGAAGACGGCAGCTCAGAAAGTGCACGATCTTGTTGCTGGAGAAAGAAACGCTGCAACGCCTGGTAGTAGGTCTTTTCGTCGTGCAACAGAAAGTTGTCTGCAGTTTGGTTTGCACTGCTTTTTCTCGGTCCTTTTGTCCTCCCTATCTCTTCTTCTGCTTCAACGCAAGGTCGACGCTCTACCACGGCAGTAGCTAGCTGGTCTGACCCCAGACACAATTCAGTTCGAGTCGCTTCGGGTTGCCTGTTCCTCGCCACGGCACACCCGGAGACAACCACACAAGGTGAAAAGCAAGCAACGACCAAAGGTGGTGACGTCCTATAATAGGCGAAGAAGCTTCACCTACATCCCCATCGGGAGCGATTATCGGCATCTGTCGCGTGAGACTGTGCCATCATGACCTTATTTTTCATCTTCTTCCCGGATAAATCAGAATTTGTCCGAAACAAACTATCAAAAGTAGATTCAAAAAGAAGCTCCATCATCGGGGGACACACAGAGGCAAAAAATCGTCGATAATGTTGATAGCTGCTCTCATCATGAACCAAGAACTGAACATACGACGTTGAACTCAGTATGATAACAATAACTTCTTCTACCTCGAATGTCTAACAAACTATCTTTCTCTCTGTGAACAAAAAAGCGAGTAACAGTAGCAGGAGCGTTCTTGTAGCTAGTACAACCCATTCATTCTAGCGTAAACCTAAAGAAACATTCATAACCAAAAACCGAGTCACAACAAAGGTTGGAAATCTGTTAGATGGGATATCTTATAACGAGAGGATGACAGCCAAACCAATGTTGTAAGTATGATCCTGAGAAACAAGAAAGAGGACGTCGTTCTTCATGTAAGAAAGTAAATAAAGAAAAAAGTCAAAACTTTAAGGCCGAAACTAACTTAGCGCCTAGGGGCTAGAGCATTGTAGTTATACACTAGATTAGAATTGCAGGATCATTATCCAGAGTCATCTATCTGATATCCCTAGACCTACTCTGTTGGGGGTCCCTAGACCTACTCTGTTGATTCAAGAAATTAGTAACCGAGTACAGAACAGAAGTCAGCAATACGGAATCCAAACACACGAAGAGGTCGTAAGGCGACAGGTTCACGTTCAATTTTCACGGTTAGTTTTCACCACTAAAGACCAATACCAAGGCCATCAAAATAGACAAGACATGACACCCCTCAACACCACATGACATATGCCACTACCGAGGTCGACTGCAGCGGGGAAATAGTGAAGAACATCGATGCAAGTGGAGCTGTGTAGATGACACAGACCCACCATTGAATCTCCCAAGTACTTAGTACAACTACAAAGACAATGCGCGCGACATCATTCTACACCCGTGCATTCCAGAAACTCTACTGAGAGCGTGGCTGCGTTTTACAGCCTCCAAAAATTTCGTATATTCCCAAGAAAAACGTGATGGACAAGACCACTTGGTGCTAATCTCAAACCAAAAACCCTGCTCCTCGAGTCAGAAGCTACTTTGTAAAATAACCTCAATCAAAAACTCAAGCAAAGCATTACTTTCGCTAGAATCAAAAACTTTCAGAAGTTGTTGTTGGCCAATTTCCCTAGAGTTTGTCGCGTCCAAGAGCGCTCCCTGGATCCGAGGCCACGCGTCGCCGCCGACATCTTCATCTGCCAGTAATCGCGCCTAAAATAATTGCTCTTTGTCAATAAGAAATCCTGCACTTGATCTTTGATTTCTACTGAAGGGGAAAAGTGAGATCCTGAAATCTACGAGAGTTCCTTTCGGTCACGGGAGTCAAGACAGCAGGAATTGAAACCTGCTGTCTAACTAAATGAGTTCATTGAGACGAAAACTCGACGAGAGAAGTAATTTAATCGATCGATCTAATCTAATTGTCTACTCGTTGAGAAGGAAAGAGATCGATCACATTATCGATCTCTAACATGAATCAAATCATAACCATTTCATCAAATGAAACAGTTTACAGGAATGGAAAAATAAAATTTTATTTTGTTGTTGAAAAATCTTCCTCGCTGACGCTCAGAAGATTAAGGTGTTCACAAACAACGACACAACGTTTACGATCGTTTTTCCCCTTGAGAGATCTCAACGTTTCCACTTTCAACAT